TAGACATTCATCACAGCGTACATCATACAGCATACATACTGTACTCTCTGATGAAAGTGAAACAGACCAAAAGCTCATTAGTAAAGTGAAACACCAACTAGATCAGATAAATCTTTTCTACCAGTTAAGACAAAAGAAAAGAAAAGGCAATGAGACATGCAGGTGAGAGGGGACTCCTTAAAGGGATTATATCACACTTAAAAAGAAAAATCAAATCAAATGGCAAACCAGAGTCAAACTGAACAGAATAAGTTATAAATGACCGCAAACTTTTTTTACAAAAGGTCGTGTTACTTGTTTTTTTCTTGTGCTGATCAGCCTGTCACACAGACAGACATGAAGCAGTCAGGAATGTCAGCTATCCTCTTGTTATGTCTGATACTTGGGGCGTAGTGAGCCTAAAGACAACGTCCATCTATTTTCACAAGTCCTTCGATGTCACTGGCCTCTGCTCACGTCGACGCTCCTCTGTGAGACGGACCACCAACACTTAAAACAGTGGTCAGCTTTCTGCTTATCTTCGTGACCCTCCCAAATTACACAGGACAAAAGATGAAACGTGGCTGCGGCTATCCGTGCGGGTCACACCGAGGACTCCTATGGCTCGGGGGGTAGCGTGGCGCTCCCTTTACTTCACCCCTCACCATGTGCCCTCTACCCCCCCGGCCTCTGGACAATGAGCCATTCTGCCGGCTTTGCAGGGACCAACACAGCCATTTAACCCCTGGCCTGACCTTGTGTCTGACTGTGGTTTAGAGGAGGTGAGTGGAGTGCCACACGCCGCTCCACTGGTGACTGTAAGGTGGGAAACCATGGGGTTTATCAGGGGTATGGTTTCACAACTTTTCTCTACAGGGTGTAGAGTGGAGGCTGAATCCTCTGTTCCCTACAAAATGCCTCTATTTTATACCTAAAGTGTACTTTTTATGGATTTTTCCAAGCAAACAAAATCTCTTTCTCTGAATTCAAACAGGCTCCAATCACACAAAAAGCATTGTATAGGTTCCAAAGCATGAGGCGCACCACACTGCCTCTTCTTTTTTTTTTTATTGAATGCCGTTAGTAAAAAAAATCTTGATGCATCTCTTTATTGTTGCCAGGCAACCACCCCATCATCCGCTTACCCTAACCTTCCTGTGTCATCAGTCTACAGTTCATTTATTGTATCTGTCCTGCAGTAATCAGTGTGTAGTTGCTGACATGTTGAGGCAGAGGGTACTGTCTGTAGCTCTGGTTGAGGGTGAGAGGCTGTCAGCAGATAAACAGAGATCTGTGTGGGTACATGAGACCCTAAAAAAGAGGCTGGATCATGGGGAGTACCACCAGTTGGTCCAGGAGCTTCTCCTCCATCATGGACGTTTCAAGTACTGCACTTATCTGCTTCCACGCCTGCTGTTTTCTATTGAGATGGTGCTAACTGTGGTTTGTAAAGTCGTATAGCTCTGGGTATCCAGCAACCACTACCACCAGTACCTCTTCTTCTTTTTTTAGATTACTTTTTGGGCATTTTTGGCCTTTAACTGATCGGACAGTGGTAGTGTGAAGGGGGAGAGAGAGGGGATGACATGCAGCAAAGGGCAGCAGATCTGAATGGAACCTGCAGCTGCTGCAGCAGGTACGTAGCCTTTGTACATGGGGCACCTGCTCTACCAGGTGAGCTGCTTGCCGGCCCACATTTTTCCAAGTCTTACCTGAAAACAATACTCGCATGCCCACATGCACATTGAAAGAGTCATTGGTTGAAATTGCTCCTCTTGTCAAAAAGATCTCTTTCAAACAGCGTTATAATGTCAGAGATGGAGATCAATATTCTCAGTCCCTGTTCTGTGTTAAGATGCTTTTCAAAGTTCAGCTGAATCTAAAATATGGCTGCGACATTATAAATCTGCTCTTTTTACCATCTTTTCTTAAAATACCTATAAAATCAATAAGTCTTTGTCTTTGTGCAGCACTTTGCATCGAGCACTTTGATTGGCTGTTACAGAAAACAGTAGTGTCTGAGTCAAATCAAGTGAGTGAGCTACAGTCTTAAATATTTTAGTTGTTAGTGTCTAAAGTGTATTTCTTCACGCATCACCACTTTTTCGTCTTCTTGGCTAGCTGGTGTTTTTCCTGAGGTTGATGTAAACTGGATCTGTGTATCCACTGCTGTTGGAGCCGATAAACGACACATTAGATTCAATATACTTTACTTTGGCTTTTTCTTGACCTTTGCTGGTCTTCAGTTTCCTGTAGCAGTTATTGCAGCTACGAGTTCTGCTGGGAGAACCCAAAAGACACAGGCTCAGCAAAGTCCCCAAATGTCCTGAAAGATAACTGAAACTAGGGACTATGGGGACCTTTGGTGTTGTCTGTGTGTCTTGTAGTCAGTATCTATCTGTGGAAAACATTTAATATTGCAGCTACATAGTGTAAAACATCTTTTAATCCTCCCTGCTCTCTTACATCAGTGGTCTACATGTTGACGGTGACCCTGGAGTGAACCAGCAGGTACGGGGTGGGGGGGTCAGCGGGGTCACAATCCTTTTGGACCTCCCGACTCCACTCTCTCTCTTCCCGCTGAGAACGAAGAGCTAGGTCTTTGTAGAGAAGAAGCTGTACTACCTAAGGCTAGTGGCCATGCAGACTGGCGGGGGACTGAAGCGTCTCTGCCCCCTCAGGGTCGAGGACAGGGAGGGGGAGGGGTGCAGAGCCAGGCACTGCTAATAGATTCATTAAGTCTCCAATGAGGTGGCTTTGTAGTCAGTTTATCCCCTCAATGAAAGAGACATTATATGGTGTTAGGGCACACACACACACACACACACACACACACACACACACACACACACTCAGTTCATTCACCTTACCTCAGACAAACTGGTCAGAATAAGAACTAATGTCAGCTAAATCTGATTTTCCATTAATTCACTGTCACATTTTTTCTGAGGTGATAGGAGTGATTGAACTTCTCATAAATTAATAATACTGAATTAAGCTTCTTTGATATTATTTCATAACTGTCTGCTCCAAACTAAATTACTCTGAACCCCATGTATGTGTTTGAATGATTAAGATGATCAATGCCACAGATGGCAGATTTTTTTTAGAAGTAAGTATTTGCTTAAAGTCTGGTAGGCAAAGACACAACTGCTGTGGATGAGCTATGATTTTCTTTTCAAGTGTAAATTTAGTGATTTATTCCGAACTGTACAGAATCCACCTCATGCGAAATGTATTTACCAACCCGTTCACATTCCGAAGTCATCAAATGCTTGTCAGTAATTTCGGCGTCAGAGACCGACACCACAAGCCACCTTTCTCAGCGATGTGACACCCTGCTGGGCAGCATCGGTTTGTAATGCGGCCAAAGGGAACCTTTCACAGTGTAATGATCCCATCCTTGGCGTTATGATATAATTGCGGGCGGTGTCAGTTAATAACGCAGCTGGATGGCACCTGTCAAGAATTGGAAAGTCCCTATAGGGCAGGTGGCGGGGGGGTGGATGGGTCTATCAAACCCTGGACTTTCACCCAGGAGTCCAGTGCTCACTTCTTTTATGAATGTAGAGCCAAAACCATGATGTTTTTTTCTAACCCTAACCCTGTGCTTTTGTTGCACAAGGAAATAAATACAAGGTGTTTCACTGACGTAAGTTTATTTTGTAAAAGACTGTATTTACCTAATGAGCAGAAACTGTACAAAAGTGTACTTTGAAAAGACACAGTGCATGTTAACATGTGTAAACTAACAACAGACAACAAAGACAGATGCACCCAGGATACCTAGCACGTCATTTGTAGACATCAAAAGTCCATTATACAACAGTTAGTTCTGGCCCTGCAATCTGATTGGTCGAGAGACAGTAAAACCGTGATGATATTGGAGTACAACATCACTGTTATTTCACTCTGTATGTATCACTCCGCCTCACAGCTGATTGCAATCAACAATCAAATCAAAACTGACGGTTAGTGTCAGTTAGGTCAGCAGTTGCGTTGTAGGCTAATTAATTCATCCACTGTCAAACAGCCAAAAATATGGATTTATTTCCTAAAATAAGTTTTGAATTGAACTATGAATGGTCATCAGAGGAAGATGAGGGAGAGGAGAAGCTGAATCCATCTGAGCACACATCCAGGTTTGTCAGTGTTTCATCAGCGGAGCTCAATGACTTGGAGAAAAGCAACATACTGTCAGATTAGAAGGCAGAGTCGACTGTGCCTGTGAAGTGACAGTCCACCATGCAGTCACCAGAGACTTATTTCACCGGCTGCACAATTAATGGAAATGTGCAGATAAATGTGTATAAAGAGTAAGTGCCTGGTTCACCATGTCTGCGTTACATAGCAACGGTGACAGCGGAGTCCTGAGGGAACTATTTTTGTTGGCGGAAGACAAATAAAATGCTTAAATTATCTATTTTGTCCTCATTTTTCAACATTTCTTAATCAGCCTTGCTTATTTAACTGTTGAACAGTTGTATAAAAGCAATATCACACTTGAGCTCGTGATGTTGTACTGTGATATGGTCATGGCTGTGATTGTCTTCTGCCTACGACCGAATCACAGCCGTGACGATATCACAGTACAACATCACAAGCTCGAGTGTGATATTGCTTAACTGAACTGAGCGCTGATATGTGACGAGTTGAGAGTGAGAATATGTTGTCAGGATTTCTAGATATGCTGCTGTAATACCTGATACTGCCTGAACCTTTTTATAACATTTAATCAGTGCTGCCATTGAGTTGTCAGCTTTCCTGATTTAAAGGACGGAGTGTCCAGTTGTTATGAAACACGACATAGGTCCATTGAGTTGGTCTGTTTTTTATTCATAGGGACTGGAGCTACAGTAGGACAGAATGTAACTGTAGGTTTCTAAAGTGTGTAAGTAAGAAGGTGTTTGTCAGAGGAACGACAATGTTACCAGAGCTACTGCTCACCCACACTACACACAGACCTTCTGGAAAGAGTTGTGTGCATCAAGACCTAAAACAGTGTTTTTGTGTGTTCACAGTGATGCCTCATCTTCCCTGGATGCTCTCAAGACCTCCTGCAGACATTCCAGTGAGACTCTGCAGCTGGCTGAGGACCAGAGATTTGCCCATGAATATGGTGACACTACTGTGACTGATAAACACAGAGCTACAAGCCAAACAGCACCTGAGGACACACCTGACATGGACCATAACAGCACTGAGAAGAGTACTGAGCTCCCAAGAATGGAGTCCACTGGAAAAGTTCCACAATTCGTCCCACACGGGGACGGTCGCAGCTACTGGAGCTCTGAGGAGAAGTCAGCTGCAGAGAGTCAACATAACGGATTCCACTCTGTTACAGCTGGTCCAAAGACAGGGCTGACAGTAGGCAAAGCTAACTCTGGCAGCGTTTACTCATCTGCAACGAGGGGAAAGACATCTTCCTCCAGTCTTGACATGGTGCCTGTGTCCAACCATCAAAACCTCCAAAGGTAAATCACCAAATGTTCTGAGTTTGTCATGTCCACTTCTGTGCATCCATTCTATCTCACATCACACTGTCAACAAGACATCAGCTGCTGTTAGTAATGAAATCCTCCAAATTCTTTCCTGCTCCACACATGGACGCTGCTGACTTAAAGCAAACACCCTCTTTTTTATATCATTCTTTTTATAGCTGCTCAGAATTTTATTAGTTTCTGCTGCAGAGCATTTGTCATCATTGGAGCCTCCTTCGTGTGATTTACAGCCAAAGATGTTGAACATCTTACTCATTTTAACACGCAGCTTCATCATTAACACTGCACTATCTTTGGGAGGACGATAGATCTTTGATATGAGGGGTGGCTCTGGACAGGCTGAAACTCTCCAGAGTCCTGCTCTCCAGATGTCTGCTCACAAATAAATTCATGTTTTGAAAGATGAAGGTGCTATGACATCATGTATAGTATATCCCTCACTTTGTGTATGTGCGTGTGTGTGTGTGTGTGTGTGTGTGTGTGTGTTTCTGGAGCAGCACAGCAGCAGTCGTGATTCAGCAGCTGTGGAGGAAATATAGACAGAAATGTGGGAACTCCAGCAGCTCTTCCACAGCTGAGAAGGGAGGAGGAAGAGGAGGAGATGGAGGAAAGCCAGAGTCAGGACCTTCCTATATTAACGGGAGCGTCGTTGGCAAGGATTACGCAGCAACTGTCATCCAGGTAAAACTATTGGAGTTTTGTCAGACGTTCTTGTTTGACTTACTGTGCAGGAGGTAAAGACCAACAACTGTGAGTCAGGCCATAATTAAAGGTCCCATATTCTGCTCATTTTTAGGTTCTTACTTCTTGTTACGTTCCCTGATCAGGCTCAGGGGATAAGAGAAGTAACAGTAACTATGAAACTGAGGGAAAAGGAAAAAGGCAAGTGGAGATGGGTGTATCAACAGTTGTGGATTTATTTTATAAAAAAAACCTCAAAGAAATAACAGTTTACATGAAGTCTTCAAAATATGAACAAAAACTAGTTTTGTTAGAAGTAAAGAAAATGATTAAGAAAACAAAAGAAAGACAAGAAGCAAGCAATGAACAAGGGTGCATGCACTTTTCACCCATAACACTTGTATTTTACAGGCTTTAATATTAAAATAAACACTTTTTCCTCCCTCATACTTTCTGTGCTGGAACACTTGTATTCCATGTCTGTCTGAAACACTCTGTTTTAGCACCTTTTTAAGCCCCCCCTCCTAAATAAGCCCAGTCTACTCTGATTGGTCAGTGTTTCCGAGTCTCCTTAATCTGTTCTCTCTGCACCTCTGCACCATCATTGTAGCCATGTTTGACTTGTTCACTGATGCAGCAGGTTAGGACGTCTTCATCAGGAAACAATGAAACAGTGTGATGTTCCATCGCATGGCAACCAGTTAGGAAAATGGGCTCAGTTACTCTTTAAGAAGGTGAAATCAGCGTATGTTAAATGTCTGAAATGATTTATCCATCCATCCATCCATTTTCACTTATCCGCGGCCGGGTCACAGGGGCAGCAGGCCAAGCAGAGCACCCCGGACATCCCTCTCCCCCGGCGATGCTTTCCAGCTCCTCCTAGCGGACCCCGAGGCGTTCCCATGCCAGATGAGATATGTAATCCCTCCAGTGCGTTCTGGGTCTGCCCCGGGGCCTCCTACCAGTGGGATGTGCCTGGAACACCTCTAAGGGAGGAAGGGAGGTAACACTCTGATCAGATACCCAAACCAACTCAACTGACCCACTCTGACACGAAGGAGCAGCGGCTCTACTCTGAGCTCCCTCCGGATATCCAAGCTGCTCACCCTACTATATCTCTGAGTCTGAGCCCAGACACCCTACAGAGGAAACTCATTTCAGCCACTTGTGTGATTAGTTGAAAAAAAAAACCTGTGTTGGTGATTCATTTTCTGTTAATCTCATCAATTGTTTTAGCGCCAGTTTGCATAAAACCAGTCTGATCAGTGGGCCCGCTAGTTTCAAAAACTTATCCAACATAGACAAGAAACTTCCTGTTAACCTTTCGATGTGTAAATAAGGACCTTACTGCTGCAACTAGAATTTTCAGGTATTGTGGCTGAAGACTGAAGTCACTTTCACACAGTGAATATCTACAAATCTCCATTTTCAGCCCTGAACATCTATCTTCAGGCCTCGTACGTGCTGCGGAGGCTTATTGGGCTAATCCTCTGCATATAAGCTGCTGTTCTGAAAAACATGCTACTCAACACTTCTCCCAAATCCCTTCTCAACACAAAAAGTGTTTGATGAGTCCTTTAGGGCTCTCTGAGGGAGAAGGTGGGGGTGGTGATGTAGTAGAATAGTGTGTGTGTGTGTGTGTGTGTGTGTGTGTGTGTGTGTGTGTGTGTTGGGGGGGTACATGAGTGATTAATCAGATTCCAGAGAAGTACGGTAGTAAGAGTTGTAGGATTCCTGCTCGGCTCAACTTGTAGTGAAGTGTGCCCCCCGCAGCCCGCTGGGAATTGGAGGATTTAGAGGCGCACTGGAGCTCCATTTGTCTCGGAGCAGCCCTGAGTCACGCAGAGTTCAGACAGCAGAACACTCAGCAATTAAAAGAGAGGTTAACATGTTTTATCTCTCTAATGGGATAATGCACAATATTTACGTTTGCCTCGTGATTCATGGAGGCTTTTCTACCGTTTCTTCTTTGGGTACCTCCAGGCGTTTTGGAGGGGCTTCACTCTGAGGAGGAGGCTCGCATCTGCTCTGGCTGCGGTCACATGCTCCGACTCCGGAGAGGACAACACCTTTGAAGAGGTGGATGTGGATGAATTTGTCTTTGATGAGGTATGCACACGAGTTCATGGGTTCCTCACGTTCATGGTTCAGTGATTTCTCTCCTCACCACGCCCAAACAGACACACAAAGCTGCAGAGAGGACGGAACAAAAATGCATAAATGCATACCCAGCATTTACTCCATTCACACACATGCAAACCTGCAAAAACAGACACAGAAACATGCACACAAATTTAAAAATACGCAAAAACAGAGAAACATACAAGGACACACAATGATACACAGGCATGTACACTCATACACAAACACACACACACACACACTCTTAACTGTTCTATACTATATACATATGTGAGTTTTTTCTGAGGACACTTGTCTTTGTTGTCCTTCACCTTTTGCTTCCAAAAAATATTATATTTAAAGGTGTAATTTTATTTTTAAAAAGGCAGTGCTGGAGAAACAATGGATGCTGTCGCTTTCTGAGGACTCACCTCCCAGACGTTATCCTGTGTCTGAGCAGCGGCCATCTGTAAAGGTAAAGCAACTGTACTGGGACAAACTGTGAAAGTCTAAAAGTAGTGTATTACCTGCAGTAGATGTCAGTCTGTGTGCTCCCAGTGTAGAGAAGCAGGCAGGACTACTGACACAGGAGCTCAACAATGTCCTGTTGTGGGTGGGGTCAGCAATAAAATGTATTTTAGCAGTGTCTCCCCAGAATTAGGGTGTATGTGTGACGGCAGCTGATGATGGGGCGGTGGGACGACAACTTTTAATGCCTGTGTGTTCCTTGGTATCTAACTGTGTCCCATCTCTAAATTTGGAGGTTTTTGTGAGCCCATGAACGCAGCACTGGTGGATAATTGATCAGTTGATCCAATCAGAGCGGATCAGATCAGATCGATGGATGAGAGGAGCAGCTGATGCGAGTGAATGCACACTTTTAGACCGACCTAGAATCTATCACAACCGCTTTGCACTCTGCCCATAAATATAGTTCAAATAACTCATGACGTGGAGAAATATTTTGATCATATTTCTGCATTAAGAAATCTTTTTGAATCAAAATGTTTTGTGTGTTTATTTTTTTTAAAATTTGATGAAGAAACATGTTTGATTCTTTGTACTTTTTTAAATTAATTACATCATTTCAGTACTTTTATCAAATATTTCAGTTAATTGACTAACATAGCCTTTTAGCTCAGGTTGTACAGATTTTAGGGATATGAAGCATACGAAGATAACTCCAAGAAATGACATCACAATAAACAAAATATATCAACATATGCACTTGCGGACCATTTCTGTGGCAGTGTTCAAAGGGTTAAAATTTTGTATTGACCACAGTCACACAATAACACAAACTAACTAACCTCTGAAGGCAGCAGTAGACCAGCAGCTCCTGTGTTCAGCGAGCCAAAATTACTGATTTTCTCAATGGAGTCTGGCGGCTTTGGGGAGAGCATAGATGTGGAACTGACGCCGTTAACAACTTCCCCGTAAGATCGGGCGGTCTGATGGAAAGATTAAACTGTGAAAATACTCTCAATGCAGCGTACACTTAAACTGATAATGATTGTTTTTAAGGTGGGCCTTTTTATAGATGGCTAAAATACATTTTGCTGCCGACTCTGATCCATAGCAGAACATTGTTGAGCTTCTGTTTGAGGACTTCTGCCCTTTCTTTAAACTGGAGGCACACTAACGTATATTTACTGTAGGTAGTACTCTGACTAAGGATAAATAGCTTGTACGACCCCACTTTAAAAAAATCTGAACTATTCCTTTAAAACCTGGTGGTCTGGTATTAACGTGAAAGCAGCCAGTGAATTTCGGGAATTACCAGGCGCTGTGTGATGTCAACATAAGAGTTATTTTCTTGCCTCGTCCTCTTCTCATCTTGGTCATCGCCCCCTCCAGGATTTGTCTCACCCTCCCTGATTGATCTTTAAATTTACTCTCTTGAAAAACAAGATTATTTCCTGGAGGGCTGAGGGTTGCTCCGCACAAGCAGATGTCATTTTTCACGCTGGCGGACTGTCATCCTGTTTTTTTCCCCTTCATTTACCTCTCGTTGGATCTTTTCTTTGGAGCGTGCTCAGCGCTGTACATCATGGTGGCCGGTTGAGGCCAGCTGATGCGGTGCAGCTGCTGTCATGGCCGGGCCTCGATGTGTTGACACTGAGGTACACATCAAAGGCAGAGATGAACAATTTAGCGCTTCCACAAAGAGAAAATAGGATCTGGAGAGTAATTAAACTGTTAGTTTGACTTACATATGAGCATTCCTCCAGTGTTCAAACTGTGTCGGCCAAATAGCCTCAAAAGAAAACACACACTTGAGTTTAATGTTAGTGGACATTCTTGTATACATTATCATTCATATTGTCATATATTTAACATAAACTGAGTACTGTATGTTGTCTAGACAGAGTATAAACTCTTCTCCATCTAGAGATTCAGCATCTCAAGCTTCTGAACACACATCAAATAATATTTTGACTTTGGCAAAAGATTTTTCTAAAATAAATAAAGAATCTGAATGTAAAGAAACACTCCAGTAAATTAAAAACTCTGTGAATTTCATGTTAGAATCTCATATATTTCGGCTGCCATGCACACGTTTGTCTAAAAAGCAATTAAAACGTACTCAAATACAGTGAGAAGAGCAATAAGTGATCGCTAACACTGATTCATGTATGTGTTTCAGCCTCCTGTGCACTTTTCTGAACCCTCCCAGTACATCCTCCCCCCGCCGGCTGTACAGAGGCCAAAACAGGCCTGGGTGTCTGGAGAACAGGTGGACTCTGCAGGGCGGAGAGTTTCTCCAGAGAGCTCCAACAGGTAGAACAAAACAGCCTCATGACTGGCTGTCTGAGTCTACACACAGTGGAATCACAGAGTCACATCAAGCTGGTGAATAGACATATTTTTTCTCTTACCTGTAGTGCTGTTTATCAGTCTAGCTAGTTTTGATGCGAGTTTCTGAGTGTTGGAGATATCAGCCGTTAAGGTGTTTGTCTTTTCTCCAATATAATGGAACGAGAAAACACTCAAAGTGCCAAAAAAATACATTTCCAGAAATCATGACCTGGTTACTCAAGATAATGCACAGATTATGGTGTGGTGTGAGCAGTTTCATGTAGGAACTGTTTTCTTTTCTACTGAACTACACCAACCAACCTTATCACCTCGCAGAAGGAAGCGTGCATCTACTCATGGAGGAGAGGCTTGTGACAGTGTGAGATGTAAACGTTAATGGCATCCTCCTCTGCTGAGCTGTAAAATTAGGTAGTTCAGTGGTGCTAGGAGAGCTAGCAGTAGATGCACACTTCTTTGTGATACGGTTGGAGAGTGTAGTTCAGTAGAAAGAAAATAGTTCCTACATGAAACTGCTCACTATCTTGAGTAACCGGGTCACGATTTCTGGAGAGTGTTAAGTTTTTTAAATATATTTTTTCGGTGTCATCTAGTGCCGTTATTTTAGAGAGAAGGCAGACATCTTTGTGACCAATATCGCCAACCCTTGGCATCTCACACTAAAACTACCTAGACTGATAAATAGCACTACAGGGAAAAGGAAAAATACGTGTTTTTGGTTTTGAGGTGAACTGTCCCTTTAACATAAGCATCCATCCATTGCCTTCACCTGTTTATCTCTAACACACATTGCCAGACAACCATTCACACTCACAGTACCATGTGTGGTCAGTCTCCAGTTAACCTCACCTGCATACTTTTAGACTGTTAGGAAACTGTTGCACCTGGAGGAAAACTGACCCTTTACCTGGACCTCTTATATTCTCACTTCTGATATACTGTCCCTGGATTACTCTGACATTCATGTGACACTGACACTACTAAAATGACTAAGAGTGACATTAGAGTCAAGATTATTGTTGTTTTCTCAGTATACATGTGCAGAGGACATGAAATAGTATTTGTTCCAGGACAACAACATGTGACCGAACAGTCTGTATTAAAGTGCAGTATCAAAAACACAAGATTAAACACTTCATAATAAACAAGCGAAACTCACAAACAGGGGAAGTAAAAATAAGAAATAAAAAATAAAATATGTTTCTCTTCCTGAATGAAGGTACCTCATGTTAATTCCAGATACAGTGTAGAGCCAACCAGGATACCTCATGTCCAAATGATGTTCTTATTAACATATTTGTGTCATGGTTGGATTAATATCATTCAGATTTCAAACTTCATTTCGTCTTTAAGCAAAACACTCAAACCTCACTGAACCAGACTGGACGTCAGCAACAGAAACTTTCTGTGCTGATCTCTTTTGATCACAAGTAGTTCTGCTTTTTTCCATCAGTGCTATATGAATTCTATCTGATTTGAAAATAAGTGTGGTCACATTATATAATTTTGAATTTGTAAATTTCTGTGTGTCTTTTTAAGGAGAATAATCTCTGTGATTTCAGAAGCAAATCTCCTGCTTCAGCGTCGGTGCTCAGCGGTCTCTCTGAGAGATCAGAAAAGATTCTGGAAGAATGGTAAATCATCATCTCATCACACATTATGTCTTTTGATATTGTGTGTGTGTTATTTCCTTGAATGTTATTTTGTGTGTGACTCTGTTCTCCTTGTCTGCAGGGGTTTCACTGACAGTAACACGGCTCTTCTGATGCTCAAGAGGGCTCAGAAGATGAAGCCAACGAAGCAGAAGAGACGCAGGGGTGAGTGTGTGTGTGACAGAAGAGTTATACATACACAGAGTTTATATGTCACAGGTGTGACTTTAAAGAAAAATCTAGTCACTTCCACCGAGAAGCTGTGCTGACCTGACACAGCATGCAGACAGACAGAGGTGTGTCAGGTTTGTGTCATATCATCTCACTCACGATAATACTGATATCATTTTTTACATGACATGAAAAATCCTTATTCTGTATTTTGACTTGCTGATATACTGACTTCATACTGTTACCTATGTGAAAGTGAAATGATGATGGACTGTGCGGTGGTTCCAAAAAGAGGAGGAGCTTCAGTAGTGTGTAATAAAGTGTGGCGTCCGCTCAGAGGGAACTCATTCAGCGGCTCCTCTGACAGCAGCACAGTGATTCTGTCTCCAAACAGCCTGTCACAGGTTCCAGCCTGATAATCAGAGATGATTTATATATAGTGATCCCGGGGGACATTTGTTTAAATGTGTAATTAGTTGAACTATTTATATTGTAACAGAATCTGAATCTGAGTCTGAGTTACTGTTAAAGAAATGACATCATCATTTTTATTTAGTTTTTACTCAAGATTTGAAGCAAACTGTAAAACCACATCACTGATTTTGTTGCAATTCTATCTTCTTAAATTAATGATATAACATTTTTTATCTTTTTTGTCATATTGTCAAGAATATTGTGATATTATTTTGGGGCCATATTGCCTATGCCTACATAAAAGTCTCCCAGGAGAATCAAAACATTCCTAGAGGAGATAAAATGCCTTTGTCAAAAGAGTCCAGTGTGTAAACCAGCTCTGAACAGTCCTGCTTTGACTGCAGCCCGTGGCGTCTCCACCTGCTTAATACAGAAGGCAAAAGCAAATCAACAGGCGTATCTGTCTCAGTCTACTTCATAAAATGCAACGTTTCTGCAATAAATCCTACCTCCATGAAGGTTGCACTCGGTTCCCAATGGCCCTTGAAATCCTATAAAGTTTTTGAATTTGAAGAAAAAACCATAAAAGATTTTTAAAATAGACATACTGTAAATACACATTGGTCATTGAATGCGCTTGGATTTATACATTCTGTGTTAGAACAGAACACACTCAAGCCTCTTTGTCTTTTTTAATTCTTCTGCTTTTCTAAACAAGAATTGACAGCAGAGGATAAACCCGCAGACCAACTGGGCTAGGAGCCACAAAAAGGTCCACAGGCTGAGATCAGTGCAAAAAAATTCTATTTATTCAGTCTTTGCTAACAGTGTTTTAAAGAAGTGTTGATATGACTGTCACTTTGGAGGCTGCAGTTTATTTCTGTTGTACTGACATGTTTCTGTCATTTTGTCCACTGTCATTTATATCATTTAGGGTCTTAGGCCTAAATAACACAGTCACCTATTTGCATTTATTTCTGGTGTGCATGTGTAATATTTCAGAAACATGTTTGTATATTTTTAACATAATGCTGTATGGAGAAATACGAAGATTATGAGAGCAGATCAGAAGTTCTGTGGTTTTCTTCTTAAATCACAAAGCTTCCTTTGTTCAGTATCCCCTCTACACCTGAACTAATGTGTCTTCCTGTCTCCTCACTCCTCTGTTAACACCAAATATCCCCCTTTATGGACGGAGCTGCTGTTCAGACATAAATCCATTTTCTAAAAGGGAAAAAAATCCACACTCATTTTTGCCTCTTTTCATTCTCATCTTTGTTCCCTCAGCCGTGCTTCAGCGGCGAACCTTTCCACCCCGTGTACGTTAACGAGCCATAACAGACAGCAGAGGCCAGGACCTGTCGCCTCTGATTGGGCCTTATTTGAGAGCCTGCAACGGAAACGACTGCCAAGAAAGCTCTCGACAAGTCGTCCCGCGATGACTTTCATTCCGATTCATTGTAGTGGTTGAGTGCAACTGTGGTGAAAGGTGACCTCACCTCCGCTCTGCACCAAGAAACAGTAGTCCTGCCACGATTATCATGCCACGGTCGTGTTAGAGGGAGGCTGCTCTTTGATCACAATTGCAATGCATGATTCCAATAGCAGGGCTCTTGTCATCTTTCTCCACCGACACACAGGTCAATGTCTGCTCTAACTCCTAATGGCATCTGCCTCAGTGAAACCAGAGCGCTGCTCTAAAATTTTCCGAAGGTTAGGTCCTGGTTTCTGCTTCTGGTTTTGGGCCCGCCTTGTCCTTCTTTGACCCCATCTCCCTCTCATAGATCCCTCCGTCCGTCTTGCCATGTTCAGAAACTGCAGTTACCAGCTGGGTCCGGTGGAGGCTCGAAACAGGCCGGCACAACACAACAGGAATGATATAAAAGGTAGGAACTGAGACCTGCTGCACATTCTGTAACCATGTAGTAACACCTGTAAATCATTTCTCAGTCTGACATGATGATCTACAGACCAGAGGTCTCGTTACAGGAAAATGTCCTGACTGTTTTCAAGTTTTAAAGATAAAAAAAAATCCAATTTTCCTATTACAGAAACTATTCCTAAAATCATAGCTGTGTCCTGTCTCAGACCTCCTGTTTTATCTTGACTTCAGAGATCATGACTAAAACTGTAAATTTAATTCTTTAAATGGGACTTGTCCTGTCATGCCTGTGTCTGTGTTGACAGCGCACACAAACTGCCTGAATCATTGATTTGAAAGTACCTGTAGGCCACTTCAGATGAACACGGCTCTCAGTTGTCACTGGATAGTGAACTTGCTCAAACAAACCCTTCCTGAGCATTAAAATTTAGCTACAAGAACTCTGAGGTACTAATCTTGTCGGTGAGAGGAAACCTAATTTTCTCCTTAATTATTCTATTAATTTTTAATTCAATCTATAAATAGATAAGTAGATGTATTTATGTATGTATTTGAATTATTTCTTGAAATTTAAAGTGTCAGCAGTTAGAGTAAAGTGCTGCTGCCATTTTGGGCATTTATTTTGAATTGAGGACGGTCTATGCCATCCTAACGTAGGATTCCTAAGATGAGAACTTCTTAAGTTATGTATTTCTCTAACAGCTATATTCCTACTCTGTTATCTGTTTATTGTGTGAATGTGATTGACACAACGGGAGGTCATATTTATTTTCAAAGGTGTGACAGTGTTGGACGAAAAATATGTATTTGGTGTGTGAAGGTCTTAAATTGTTGACAGATCACTGATGGGCTTTGAGACTAGCGACACAGTGACATCACTACAACCAAGGCTGAAAGTATGAAATATTTCTGAATGACAAACATTAGCAGTAATTATACTTTTCTTTATGCCTCTGCGTTGGTGACAGCTGTGGCCGGAGGCATCATGTTTTTGGGTCGTCCGTACATTCGTCTCATTCTTGTGAATGCGGTATCGACAATGACTTGAAGGAATTTGTTAAAATTTGGCACAAACGTTCACTTGGACGCAACGATGATCTGATTAGATGTTGGTGGTCAAAGGTCAAAGGTAAAGGTCACTGTGACCTCACATCATATGTGATATAAATGCGATATCTTAGAAACACCTAGAGACAATTTCTTTTCATTTGACCCAAACGTCCACTTGGACTTAATGATGAACTGATTAGACGTTGGTGGTGCTCTCATCAACATTTCATCCGTCTCATTCTCATAAACGCAGTGTCTCAAGAAGGCCTTTAGGTAGTTTCCTCAAATTTGGCACAAAAGTCAACTTGGACACAAGAATGAACTGATTAGACTTTAGTGGTCAAAGGCCAAGGTCATTGTGACCTCAGGTCCATCCCATTCTGGTCAGTGTAATATCTTCGAAATGCCGTAAGGTAGTTCTTTATATTTGACACAGACGTCCAGTTGGAGATGAACCGATTAGTGGTCAAAGGTCAAAGGTCACTGTGGGCTCTGAAAACATACTTGGCCATAACTCAAGAATTCATAAACTAATTATGACAACCTTGCATACATATGGATAACAGGATAAAATGATGAAGTGATGACATTTTTTATCCTAAAGGTCAAAGGTCAACTTCACTGTGACATCATCATTTTCTGCACGAAGGCGTACATTTCTAGTTTTTTGTTTTGTTATGTTTTTTGTTATCATCAAGAGAAATTATTGCCAAAATGGCACAAATCTAAAAATGAGCCTCAAGTTTGTGAAACCTGAATTTCTCTTTAAATGTTCCACCCACAGACAAGAATGACTTCACTGGCCGTGTACTTGTATGCTTCTGAAGTTGTCTGTGATGTTTCACATCACTGAGCTGGTTTTTACTCATGAGAGAAGACATTCTTTCTTCCTCAAGACTTAATTCTCACTGCTGTGGATAATAAAACAGTCTCTACAGGTTGACTGTGGTGTGATGTAGTTTGATAGTCCTGGAAGAAGCAAACTTCTCCCTCCATCTTTCGTGCTGTGGCCTCGTGCCCTGAGGTGGAGAGATGATTTGGCATCGTGACGGCCACAGCCAGACTTAAAAGGGAGGGAAGAGCTGGAGGGAAGGCAGGAGGGAGGACACGGGGGGAAGTGGACTTTTATCATGCCTGTCTCCATCTTTCCTCTGAACCCCAACCCCGCCCCCGCCCACTGGGGTCAAGGCCTCACATCCAGAGAGCACGACGCTCGCGGTCATCCAGCAGTCAGAGGAGACGCGGCAGCAGTAGCGTTTGCCAACAGGCAGTGAAGTGACTCTGGTCCATGTCCAACGCTGCCATAAGCATGAAATAGCCCTTAATTAGCTGTGGAGAAATACGCCATGTTTGCCTGTCATTTCATGTTACAGCCAAAAAAAAGGGAACAAATCGTACCTTCAACTTTGGGATGTTTTTAGTTCCTCTCTATCTCTTCTGGGTGGATCTCTTTAGTAATTTGTGTGTTGAATAATTGTGAAGGAGTCACCTTGTTTTCCTTCAAACTGATTCAGTGCTGAGCAGCTAAAGATCCAGCAACAACTTATTTCGATGTTTTCAAAGATTCTCAAGAATTTTGTCGCTAGTTGTCAGCAGTGAGTAGATTGCCAAACTTACAAGATACTTTCATCAAACAATGGTGGACAAACTTAACTTTAGTATTTGGCGATGACGGCAGTTGATTTTCTTTCCCAGTAATAACTTTTTGTTCGATAATTAATTTGTAAGATGAAAAAGTGAGTGTGTGTATGACAGCATCATTATGTTATCACGTGTTGATTCTGAGCTGCAGGTGTATTATGTCAACTATCCAACACTGTGATTACTGACACTGAAATCGTGCGTGAGCACAATAAAGCTGTGGATAAGCTCTCAGCCAACTGGCAGTAGAGGACCGCTTCCATCCAAATGACCTATTACGTTACAACAATATTTCCAGTTCTGTTTCTTTCCAGTGTCCTTATCTCTCCTCTCCACCCTTGTCTTGATAATTCATCAAACAGTACTGGTGTTTTCGAGCAATGAAGTGAAGCAGCTACATCAGCTAATAAAGTAACACGGGTCACCAGTTAGAACATCATCCTTCCATCTCTGCGTAACGTCCCGTGTCCTCAGTTGATTCTCTGATTCGACTGAGAGTGTTCCTGTAAAATGTGTAACTCTAACCAGCTCAGTTTTGGAGGAGACAACTCTTGTTGCCTTTTTATAGGCCAACCGTGAGGCTGTGGTGGCGGCGGCAGCAGAGGTGGTGTGTTGCGGGTCTCTGTAAACGGGCCCAAGCCAGCCTCTCCTGTTGCTCCCCTGGTCCTGACCTGTGGGAGGCACCCCCTCCTCCGGATCCATCCCCAGTGCCCGGGGACTAGCCAGCCCAGCCCGGCCCAGCCAGCGCTCCCCGACAGGGGCTAACGTTTCAGGCTTTGAGTCAAGCCCCTTCTGGAGGTGATTAGCCCCAAACCCATGACAGATTCTTTCCAAGATATCCGACGCGGCGTGTTTATTTTATCCGGGCTCTTTGTGTGGATGTGCTGGACATGAGTAACCCACTTGAAATGGGTATCAGCTTACATACCCAGAGAGGGAGATAGAGAGGGAGAGAATGGAGCAGAGCCACAAGACATTTTCTTTTAAAGGCAAAAAATACAGAAATACGCTTCCCCTCTTTTTTTTGGATGCTTTGTATCATCAAGTGCTGCAGATGTTGAAGATGTTGTTTGCCTCCAAGCGTTTCTCCTTCTTTCTCCTCTTACTTTCCACCAACGCCTTCCACTCAACCCCCCCAGGCACACACACCCTTCCAACCTCCGTCTTCCATCCAAACTGCGATCCAACCCCACCAAACATCCGTCCTCATGTCAGAGGGACATGAGGGTATATATTTTTATTTCAGCCTGGAACCCCTACCTCCTGAGCACTTAACTCAATTTCACACTTCGAGTCATCTACAAAGTTTGACTGAAATACAATCATCCAGTTTATCATCCATCATCCAAAATAACTTCATGTCAGAATATTTACCAGCATTCATATGCCTTTAATTTCACCTCAGCTCTTCTATTTATCTCAGGCAGCGCAGCTCTCTCCTCATAGTATATATGTTTGAGATGCAGGGGCACATGTGAGGAAGAAACATGCAGATCTTATGTAGAGTTGGGCAGCTGCGTCTGCGTCGCTCACAGAGACAAACACACAACTAAAACAGTCAGAATCCTCAAATTTCAGACATGCTCTGATTCTTCTTCCACTCTGTGAGTGCCAGGAAAACAGGCTCTCAAAACGACTTTCATGATGCAATAAATTTAGATTAAGATTTTCATTTTTAACTTTTAGCATAGCAGTTTTTAATCTTATGGGGCAAGTTTCAAGCCTGACAGTCTAAAGTCAAGTTTCACGCACTTTAGGGTAGGTTTAGTACAAGACCTGATGTAGCAGGCCAAGACACAAGTCTTTCAAGTCTGTGAATGCTGACCATTAACGTGAGACAGCATTTGAACACTTTCTTTTCTATGCAACGTATCCTCAGAACAGTTTGTATGATATACTACGAATTAGCACCCCACAAATGATGTTAAGACCTTAACGTACAGTTACGTATTTAATGTAAAGTTACTGTGGTTAGGTTTAGGAAAAGAAACACGTGACTCCAGGGGAAAGTCCGTCTTTTTTTTTTTTGCAACCCATTCTCAAGTCATTCTGAAGTCGTTGAAAACCGGTGCTTGGTCAGTGACTTCCAGCATCAGACACCCACAAAAAAATCCATCCTTTCATGTCAGCATGATGCTTGGCTGGTTGCCGTTATTGTGTAAGTCTGTCATCGATTTATTTAGCCAGCTTTAATTTAGCTATGGCATTAATTAGTACAAAATAAAAGATTGCGAACAAAACCAAACTTTTCATTCCAGTCTCTTCGAGGGCCCCCCTCCTGCTGGTGCCCTGAGTAATCAGTCCCACTCCCCCCTGCCTGTGGAGTCTGGTGGCATTTTAGTAGAATGATTTATGCACTTGAATGCTCCCATTCACGTGATGGGTATCATACTGTAGGTTTTTAAACAGCCCTGCTTACGATATTACACTTTCCAAAATCTAGAAAAATATCTAGTCTCACATCAGGATATTGATCTAATATTAGCATATCGCCCAGACCTAATGTCACACTGGTTTGTCTCAAACATACTGAGACTTTAAAACCTGTGAGCATCTCTTACAAACTGACTCTGTGGTTCACCGTACCTGCTGTAACTGTTAATTATGACCATTACAGTTGCTCATTCTCTGCTTTACTTACAGTCTGATTGCCTCACTGCTTGTTTCTTGCCCCCTCCTGTTTCCATATATCAGCAGTTACTTTGCCTACAACTGTTCAGGATGCCTCCTCACAACAACAACGCAGGGTCATCAACTCATTCATGACACAGTTTCATTTCTCATTAGGCTCTGCTCTGGCCCAGATCTGCTGCCTAACCCCGTGTTGTTTGTTTCTGCGGTGGCGTTCGAGGGGAGGAAGCTGCAAGTTTTCAGCATTGTGTCTCTCCTTCAGCTCTGGTTGCTGCAGGCCAAAGCCTCCTCCCTCCTCTTCCTCCTCTTCCTCCTCTTCCTCCTCCTCCCCATCTCACTGATACTAAGTCCGAGCTCTCCCCTCCTCAGTAGAGACGAGATGGCTTAATGTGCTTAAGAGCCCCTCTTAACAGGCGTGACTCCTCCAGGCCCCCTCCTGATGTCCTGGAGGACTCCTGGAGGGGGATTCAGGAGGTTGGACGGGGTCAGGAGGGGGCTTTGGTGGAGGGTTCAGAGGGGAAAAGGGAGAGGAGAGTCTCTCCGTGCTACTGCAGTGAAACAAAAATGTGAACTTTTTTCTGGTGCTTATCTTTTATCACATTCATTCATTCATTCATCTCTCAGGAGTGCAAGTTTATTGCCAGTATTCCCTTACAACTTTTGATGTGTCCATATAAGATCCTGTCATGATGTATGACGAATGAAGGCAGAATGCCTGCTAGTGCAGTACATGAGCATGCTGCAGTTTAGAAAACATATTCCTCTGAGTGTTTTTCAGGACAGCCTGTGCCCTGTTTCTCTCTGTCTCTCTGTATTTTCAGCTCTGGGACGTGTGAGTAGCCATTTCCTGGCCTTTGCTGCCCCGGGGGGAAGCATCTATCACTTGACATTTTTAGTGGGGCTCCTCAATTAACCCATGAAAACTGTAAAGCTTTTCTCTCCCCTTTTACAGCCCAGCAAAAGCAAGTAAATGGCTTAAATAAATGCATCATTAGTTCCAGCATTGGGCTGTCAAAATTCATTATCAGTTTACACCCATCTACGGCAGCATTACTGTCAGCGCAACATAAATGTTTACTTTGAATTACAACCTTATTATGGGATTTCAGCAGAACTCGTAAATCAGCAGCTTTTCAGATTTCTTTAACAAACTGCTTGGATTAAATTTACAAAAAACCACAAGCCCCAACAATTGTTGGAGAAAAGCAGATCTCCTCCCGCTGCATCTTTCAGCAACTGAAACTGTATTACAGTAATGCCCCAGAGTCCTGCAAACAAATACACCGCCTTAAGCCCAAACATAAATGCTGGGAGCCTTGACCGCTGATCTCCCCCGGCGCTGGGAACCCTGGCTGCCTGTAATTACAGTGAAACATGTCAGATGTTGTTACACATCAGGCCCACCAGCTGTTTATTTGTTAAGCTTGTACTTTGGTGAGCATCTGTTAACACAACTCCTTCGCTGCAGTATCGATTACACCTCCTGTCATTTAGAAACACGCCACCTTCACCGCAGTGTTCGTTGATTAGGCTGCGCGCTCATTCTCAGCCACCATCGTCATCAAGAATGTAACTGACAAGAGAAGTAGGAGAAAAAATATCTGCTGTGACGTTTATTTGATGTTTTCTGTCGAGTGCAGTTGGTGAGGCTGAGCCGGGCCTTCAGCAGGCGGAGAAGGTGGAGCGAGTGAAGCAGGAACGAGCTCAGCAGTGGCTGCAAACCCAGGCTGCTCACTCTGACAGGGACTCAGAGAGGTGAGGCACTGAGCAGTGGTCATAAGGTGTGGGCGGTGTGACGTGTAGCTACAATTATATTTTAAAGGTTCGCTTCACCAAAAAAAACAAACGTATTTTCTAGTTTACCCTGGTGATAACCAGACAAACAGAGTTTTTGCTTGTATCTGTTCAGTTTTTTAAATATCTGTCTCTGTAATTTCACAGACCGATATATAGGTTTTTGTAATTTGTGAAAATGTATCCTTTAATTAACTGCTATCATTATTAGCATAATTTTAAAGACTTCTTTTAGATATGTTTCATAATTATGTAATAATTTGTCCAACAGGTTTTTGTTTGTTTGTTTGTTTTTTTTTTTACAAAAAATCAATTGCCTCATGATATAATGCAAAATCTATGAATATGCAAATATTTATCATTTCAAAAGTTTAACTGCGAGACAGTACTTTTTGGTGAAGTATGAGAACTCATTTGAGAAGTCCACTCTTAGTGTGTGTGTTTATGGAGATGGCATCAACACATTTTTGAGTCAAAAGAGACTGTCAATTGTCTCTCTACTTAAAGGGTCACTTTGATACTTTTCATCCTGGACCATATTTTGTCATGTTTTTGTGTCTAAGTGACTCATGGTAACAATATATTTTTTAAAATGATCCAGTATTTAGTGGGAGGGCTGCAGCTGCCATCGCGAAACAGGCTGTAATGTAACCACTCTGGGCAATATGCACGCTCCATGTATACATCAACTAAAAGTGTCTGTTTTGCCACTCAGCATGTTTCCAGTCACAGTGAAGTGGAGCTACAGTTCCAGCTGGATGAGGACATTTACCGTAAAACTTGGTGTATAAGTCGCACTTTTTTCCCCTTTTTTTTCATCTAAAAAGTTGGGTGCAGGTAAGAGACCGATGCAACCTATAGACCAAGGTAAATGCTGACATAGGTAATTTGACCCACACAAAAGAAGTTTAACGTTAATTTAAACTCATTTTTATGGCTCAGATGTTGTTATACCATAATTTTATTTCCTGAAGAGGTTGTTTGGAAAATTGCAATCTGAAAAGTAACCAAAGCTGCTTAAGAGGTTATTGTGTTTTGAATGTGTTTCAAATTAAAAATAAAGGGAAACAGTGTAGGAATAACTTGTATAACGTTTTTATTAACAGATAGTAATATAAAACCTTGTTTTCCCTGTTTGAGACCTTAAAAAATAGATTGCGATTTATATGCCAGTGCGACTTATATTCCGAGTTTTACGGTAACTGGACTACTGTCCTTGTCCCAGTATACAAGCACAGGAGGGGAATCCATTTATTGACCCAAGTATGTGCGACTCCTCTACGATAGGTGGAGATATGCCCCCTTTCAGCTTGTTAGTATTGGACCTTTTTCCTGTTGACCTATTACGTCACAGACCAAACAATGGACAAACAAGTTAGCTACGGTTAGCTAGCTGCTAACTGGTACCATGGTGGACAACTTTACAGCTCTGTACATTTGGTCCGTCCAAAAAGTCACGGCTCTGGATGTAGATTTCTCCATGTTGTTACCGGCTTCTTCTTCTCTTACACATTTAATGCTATTGGACTTCTGGGTCAAAGCCCGGGGCGGAAACTGTGGAGCATGCTCAGAGCGCCTCGGCCAGTTTGGGTCTGATTGACTGTATACATGCAGGAGGAATTCTACTCCCAGTCACATTATCTGTGCGAGAAATTCACTTTAGTATGATTTCAGTCGGACTAACATGTTTACATGGGTTTTAATAGCCTGGTTTTAGTTGGACTGACACAATAAATCCATTTTCTTTGATGTCACGTGAACAGACTGACTGACAGGCTCAGATTATTATTCTAAGTGTCTGACATCATTATGGAAAGGATCCTACAGAGACAGACCTTTGTGTTAAAAATAAGATCCTTTTTTTTATCCAGGTAAAGCTCCGAAATCACAATTGATACACCCACCAGGCTCCATTTAAATAAATGACAATTTTAGCATGTATAGAGGCAGCATGTGTTCACATCTAACTGGGTAAATTCAGAGTTTATTTCAACAAAACTAGAGTTGGTGATTGTTGGAACAGCTGAAAGATGAACGAAGATGGTTTTTGTGAGTTTTATTTTGTTTTTGTCAACTTTGAATGAAGCGTGTTTTAATGCTGACTAAATGACTGCTTATTTTAAATGGAGTCCGGTGGGTTTGGTGATGATGATTTCAGAACTGTTTCTGATTAAACAAAAAGGATCTTACTCTTTAACACAAAGCTCTATCTCTGTAGGGATCCTTTCATAATGCTGTCAGACTCTTAAATAAATAATCTGAGCCTGTCAGTGACAAAAGAAACACTGTTAGTGGACGTAAAGTGACGGTGCACAAATGCCCTGAGTGGTTACATTGCAGTATCGTGTCTGCCGGCTTCAGCGCTCTCTCTCAGTATTGGACCAGTTTAAAAAATAGTTAATCCCATCAGTCACTTAGACACAGAAAAATGGGAAAACAGGGTTAAAAAAAGGTCTGATTTGTTTTAATGCCAAGGGGCAATTTATCTTAAAACAGTTGACACTTCACTGTATATGAAACATATACCAACAGAGTGTGTGTAACAGAGGCAGAGAGCATTCAGGCCTGTGCTTCCCCCCACCTAACAAATAGACATTAAGATTATCATACTTTGCATCTGTGTTTATTTTATGATACGTTAGAGATAATTGTAAAGGACTGAAGAGGGGAAACTGCTGTATTGATTTCAAATATGCAGAGAGCTTACAGCCCAGATGGGTTTTTTCTTCGTTATCCTCAGTGTGCATTTCTTACCGGAGATCAGCTCAGACGTTCTGAACGGAGGCAGAGTGCAGCTCGTGGTGAGTACACTCCCCCCTGCAGCTCACTCACTTCACAGAATAACAGTGGATCTTGATTTAAATCTTTTCTGAGAAAGGGGGCAGCTGCATGTATGTGAAGCAGTATTTACATTCAGCAGTCAGAGTCATGTCCCGCGCTGTAGGTTCCCTCTCCTGGAGCCTGTCTCATCAGCTTCCATTTAAAGGAGGCAGGGGGGAGGCTGGTCTGAGGCTCAGCTCCACAGTGACACTTTCAATTGGATCAACTGGCTGCAATTTCTTCATTGTACTCGCAGAAATCCCAGTGTCACTTTGGAGCAGTTTGCCTGGACTCATGAACGATACTGATGCTGGTGAGGTCTTTGAAGTCAGAAACTGCAGGTCTCCCTGTGCCGTTATAGAGCAGTTTGAGTTACGATCACTGGCGAGAGGAGCCACCCCCTTCCTCCTGTTTCTTAGATACGTTCAGACTGCAGAGCCGCTGCTTGTTGAATGTTTTCAAAATGCTGGACTGCTTGCGTGAGATGTGTCATGTTGGGCCTCATTTATGTGTGTGTTTGTGTGTTTCTGTGTGTGGTGCGTGCAGGCCGACCCAGGATACACAGAACGCCGACATCACGCCAGAGGATTGTGGGCCAACAACAGTTTAGCTGCCCAGCCTTGCAGAGAGAACAGTTATCCTCGCAGAAACTCTGTGGGTTGTGCAAGTGAGTCCTGTGAACTTCACAGACGTTTTTCTCCCAAAATCATCCTGTTACTGCAGATTTTTACCACACTGAACTCTGAACAGAATGTGAAAAAACATTCATAAAATCAAATTCAGCGACACTCTTAAACTCTTTCTGTCACTGACTGTTTAAAGTATCTTTCACAATAACTGCTGTCCAGATAAATGATAACAGAGGCATTTATTGCTTTACTAATCTGTCATTTCTCAGAACACTGAAAATTAAGTAAGTAGTTTTTTACATACAAACATGCATCTAGGGCTGCAACAATTATTTTCACTGTTGATTAATGTGTCAATGGTTTCCTCGATTAATCAAGCAGTTGTTTGGTCGATTAAATGTCAGAAAATAATGAGGAATGTTGATCAGTGTTTCCCAAAGTCTGAGATGACGTCCTCAAAGGTCTTTGTTACGAAGATATTCACTACACTGTCATAGAGAAATAAAGCAACCAAAAATACTCACATTTAGAAGCTGTAAACAAAAAATTTGACTTTTTCTCCTTAAAAAATGACTCAAACCAATTAATTGATTATTGAATTAGTTGGCAGTTCATTGAGTTAGTTGATTGTTGATAACATCAGTCAGTTGATTACTGCAGGAGGTCATTGTTTGCATGATCCTGTTTAAATTGATCTAAAATAAATACCATAATAATGAAAGCATCCATTCTTGTTGTAGCAGAAAGCTAAGACCTCCATCTTCCCCTTCATCACATCATGACCTTGACCTTCATCACATCATGACCTTACCTCACCTTATGTGCTATGCAAACGTGGTAGTTTGCCTTAATTACGCCAGTATTTCCCACAATGGCCACAGGGGATCGTTGTTTAATTGTTAATTGTTCAATCTAAAATAAAAAACATACTAGCTAGAATATTCATTCTTTTTGCAGCAGAAAGCTGAGACTTCTGTCTTTTGTGTCATCACGTTGTGTGTTCGTGATGATGTCATTACACTGCCCTATATGTGGCACAACACCATGCAAAAATGCACAGTGGCACAGAGGAACGAATGATGAATCTATCACACCTTTTCACTCCGCTCATAAAATTGAGCATATCTTGAAAATTAAATACTGTACATAGTTCAAACAACTTATGGAGTGTTAAAAAAAATATTTTGATCATGTTTCTACATTTAGAAATCTTTTGGATCAAAATGTTTTGTGTTTATAATTTGTGAAATCAGATGAAAACACGTCAATTTTGTATTTATTTATTTGTTTAAATAACACTATTCCAATACTTTAATCAATTATTATGATTTGTTGACTTCCATAACCTTTTAGCTCAGGTTGTGCAGATTTTAGGGATATGAAGCATATGAAGATACTCCAGGAAATGACAATAAGCAAAAATACCAGTGTAGATACTGTTGGACCATTTCTATTGCGGATTTCAAAGGGTTAATGGTTGCAGCTCTACATGCATCCACACACACACACACACACACACACACACACACACACACACACACACACACTGTATATATGATTTGAAGTATAGACAGCTGAACACATGTACTGGATGTATGACAGTGTTGTTATATGTTAATGTATATTTATGGCGCTGAGCAGAGATTTGGGCCAAAGTCAAACTTTAACCTGAGGAATCATAGATTGTGATTTTATGTATTTGTGTGCACACACGTGTGTGTGTATACCTGTACTTAAAGCACATGTATGTACAGATGTTTCCATGTTTGCACACTTGCACCCACGAGTCTCGGGTCACACAAACCTGAGCGCCGAGCCAGGGATAAAGGCTGCTGCTTATTCAGCCCAGACTGAGTCCACCGGCCGGGAGGGGAGGGAGGGGAGCCGTAAGGTCGGGCCGGGGACAGAGTGCCGTGAATTTCTCCTCTGACAGGAAACGGGCAGAAAAAGGAAAAAAAAAAAAAAAGTCCTTTCAGTGAAGAATGACTGGCCCTTCTGTCAGGAGACGTGGGGCTCAGGAGTCTGAGTGACAAAGATGCTACTGACAGGCTGACGGCAGATGACCACATTAAACAAGCCCAGGAATCCGAGTGAAGGAGATCCCTGTCCCCGTTAACGAAGCCAAATTGGATTCCGGTGATGATTTCAAAATGATGTCCACGAGGTGCAGCAGGAGCGAGTGTCGTCTGGCTCGGCAGGCAGACTGTTGTTCTCAGTCGGGAGAAAGAAAGCCTCTTTGTCTGCTCTGATGAAAACACCACTTATCCAAAATTGTTTGGGGCAAATTGAAATATGAATGTGTGTGTAAGGCAGGAGCATTTCTTAAAAAGTCAATTAGATATTTCATAAACTTGGAAAGGGCGTCTAATGATCTCTGTGCTTTATCATCAACAAACCATCATATCAGAGGAAATAAGTTACTCAGGTGAAATCAGGAAAACAGGGACGCAGCTTCTGTGACAAATCTTCTCATCGTCTGCCCTCCTGAGTCAGTAAATATGAAAACAAAACTTTATTTCTCAGAATGCTGTCTGTCCTTTGCCTCTGAAGTGGCACACACACATCAAAGTGAAGGTTTAAAGTGAGAAGGTTCACTTAGTTTGCCATCGCAGTAAAGACTACATAAATACTTTGTAACCTATTGCAACACGATACTCACCACTTGCTGGGACGGCGCCATAAAATGCGTTTCCAGGCCCACAAAATATTTTGCAGAGGAAACCACTTAAGTTGCATATCTGCTACCTCAATTTTGTCTGCTGTTCTACTCTAATAGGAGCAAAATGATCGAAAACACTTTATTTGGTCACAGCGGTCGGGTCAAATGTGTGGCCTTTTTGTTATCTCCGTACGTTTAACAGCATGACGGCACAACCTGCGCTGAAATTGGCAACATGTGCGTCAGGTTTGTGCTCTCTGTGTTTGATTTAGAACAGATAATTGGACAAAAGTCTTTAATAAAGTAAATTCAGCCACCAAAGCTGAGCTGAGAAATAAGCAGAAAAGGCTGTGGTGGTTTCTCTTTAAACTACATTACACACACCACGAGGAGGAGGAACACTGCTGACATGAGTGAAATAAAAACTCGGGAGGTGCGATTAGGTATGACTGGTGAGTGGAGGGATATTCTATACAGTGTGCCAGCTGTGCAGATATTTGGAGCCGGGTCAGTATCTGCGATGCGTCCCAGGCCCCCCACCTCCTCCAGAGGCCTCCCCGCTGCTCAGCTCTCTGTGTGGGGCGGCCGTGGAGACCGCGGTCCTGGGCCCTACACGTGGAATGCATCATGCCTGATAGAGGCGCTGCCTTTGTACTGTGTGTTTGAAAGGCTTTGTACTGATCCCCAGGTGAAATGGACGGGCCTCTGATACAGCGCATGGCGCTCCTGGGAGCCGGAGACACAAACACAAAACTCACCTGCTCAGACTTAAAACTTTACAGTCAGATTTAATATCGTGTTGTCGTGAGTCTCCTGAGACCAACGTCCAAATTTAATTCAGTCAAGGTCAAAAGTTGCAGATTCCTTATTGTTTGGTTTCAACAACAATCTCTGTTCGCTTGAAATCAATAAAGAAGCTTCCAGATGTAGTTACCCAACATCACACTATGTTCTTCAGCGTACAACTCCTAATGCTTTGCTTAATGGTAGGGTTGGGAATCACCAAAGGCTCCATGATACGACACTATCACAATACTTCATAAGTTTGAAAATGTGAAAAGTCTTTGGCGATTAGAGCCCATTAAGATGGAGGTGAACGCAGTGGAGGAGGGCGGGACAGTTCTGCCTACAGTGACAGCTGACAGCAGCAGAGAGCAGATTTAGAATTTGACAATAACATCCTGATTGGCTGATAGAGATGGTGGCGAAGTTTGATTGGATAACAAGAAGAGGTAACACCCACAGTCAGCTTAACAAGGTATGTAAAAGATTTTGATCGACCTACAAGCAGGTGTTAAGGTGGTCTATGTATCTAACCTCGCTCAGCAGTCTGTGCCTGCCAACATATGCACGGTGGTAAGAACAAAAGCAGCTGGTGTCATGAATCTGACGTTAATTTTGTGAGTGCACTTCAGACTAAAAACATTTCTAGGCACATATTAGTAAATAAGGCCCAGTGTTTGTGGTCATCTCATCAGAGATGCTCTCTTACCTCCAACCCAACGCAATAACGCTGTAAAACCAGAAATGAAAATGATCACAATACTTAGATATTTAAGCAGCAGTGATGACTTCTGCTGGTCTGTCTCAATCTTCCATCAGCAGAGTGATCACACTGACAGTGACAGCACTTTCACAGGGTCATATTGTGACGTAGTTCATTTCATCTCCACTGGGTCTCCACACCTTACAGGCTCACATTAGGGCAACCAATCACATATTTCAAAAGAAAGCATCGTACCTAGCAACAGGGTCAACCACACCTCCTCACTAAGGTCAAAGTTTCTGTCTCTTCCTTGCTCAGAGTTGCTCTGAGAACTTTCCTAAATCACTCCTTAGCTGGGACTCCTTGACAGTGTTCTCAGAGTGTTTGTGACTACAGCAAAAAACACTCAGTAAAATCAGGATTGACGTGTGAGTACAAACTGCAGAGCGAGAACTCCACAACAATGAGTGCTTAACATCAAATGTGTCATTTAAATTGCCACACTGCTTTGTCACACTGCTCGATTTACGTTGTATGAGATATTGACACATTTTCCTTTTGTGTCTGCAGGGAAAGAAGTTCCATCTCCTCAGCGAGTGATGTCTGCTCCGTCCAAAAAGGAGCGCATCTCCTTCCGAGACAACCCTGTTGAGCTGAGCAGCGGCTGGGGAGGGGGCAAAAAGAGGGACAAAGTGTACAAGTAAAACACAAACGCTTCCACGACCACGTCATCTAACCAACAGCAGAGCAACTTAAGGGCAGATACGTTTATATTTCCCTCTCCTGATCCTGACAAAGAACGTGGCATTTTCAAAATACATGTTTATCTAGTTCAGGAAATCATATTTATTCTTTCTTTGGCTGCAGTATAGTGCTAACAGCCTGTGTTGGGGTATTAACATGTATTCAGATGTAATGACTCAGGATTTAAACCAATAGATTTCAGTCTCACAAGCTTATTTTTTTCCGTCCATGAAGACGACTCTGTATTTTTATTTTTAATGCTATTTTATCGCCTGCCCCGAATCCGCCTGCAGCTGTTCTTCTCAGCTGAAAACTCGAGCTCCCTGTCCTGAAAATTAATTAAGACCAATAGGACCTGGACCAGCCCAAATATCTTCAGGCACTTCCATTCTGTTGATTCAGCTCGAGTATCACCGCCTGAACGTGATCGCAGCCAACCAGCACCAAAACACATGGAACAAAATGACACGCTTCATATGCAAATGATGGCAGGAAATCAGAACCAGGACCTTTAATACCTGCGGACTCATGTTTCTCTGGATGCTGAACTGTTGTTTCTGTGCTGACAAAAAAAAAAAAGGTAATTATAGTTTGTATCCATGGGAAGAGACTTGCTTTTTCCACTTCTCCTGTGCTCTCTTAAGAGTAAAGTTTAATAAGCCCAGAGATTTTAGTGCAATTTCCCCATTATGTGGCTAAATTTAGCTCCGGCTCGCCAACAGTGGGCTTGAAATTACTGCTTTTATGAGCTGAGCACAAACATTGGTGTTAGAATTAGAACGATGTTTTCTTTATTTTCAGTCGTGGATTATAATGGCCTTGTCTGTGTATTTGAATTTGGAGAGCTAAGGCGTCCGTCTGCAAACACTGCCCTACCGGAGGCGGTGAACCTCAGGTTTGGAGGTTCTTCGTTGCTCCGCCGCCTGGAAATGATAACTTAATGAATGTCAAAACAAATAGTCAGAGCTGCAGAGTGGCTCCCTGGCAGGAAATGCACGTCTGCCTATTTATTTTCCTCCTATCTTTCACTTGCACATGTCTGGAGGGTGTGTTTTGACTGTACGCGAGCTGATGGGGGATTTTTGTCTTGGAGAGCGGCGTATGCCAGAGATGTGGTGGTCCTGCCCACTCGGGTGCTGTTGTGAAACCCAAGAGCGCCGTCCTCCTTCAGGGGGAGACTGATTCTCTGGGCTCTCTGGGGGGCGTCAGGGGGGGTTTTCTCTGTCATCAAACTGTCGTTCCACAGCTGTGGGCCTGGAGAGTTCAGATTTTTTATTGCACATACAACATGAACAGACAGGTGACAGAAAAGCACAATGAGAAGTGCTGTCGCTAGTGTTGTTTTGTTTGACACAAGTTCAGATTAGCTCAGGCTCTCAGAGCTCTGCTCGACAACTACTGCTTCTGAAATGATATTGTTAAAGCATCGTCCAGCAGTCTTCATTAGATTTGTTTATTTTTGGGTTATGGGTAAATTATATGTAACTTAAGACATCCAAAATTCATTGCCTGGTGAAATGAGTGCTTCACCGCACATTTAGATAAGATGAAAAATGTCCCTCTCAGCTCAGTCTGCCCTGCCAGCCTGACCTCAAGTCAGCAAATGCTGTCAGATGGAGTCTGGCTGAGAGAGGTTTGGTATCTAAATCTCTCCAAGTGCTCTCTTTAAGTGCATTAAGGAACCATAACTGTGTGCCTGCAGGTTTTAGCTACAGATTTTGCATACTATCATTTTTGCTGACCATTTTTGAAAGCACACTGTACAGTTTTAGATTTTTGTAAACAATTTCAGCCTCTGGTTTCCATTCATTTCTGTTTAAAAATAAATCAGCAGACTCGAGAAACTTGTTTATGTTGTGTAGTTAATCACAGTGAACATCGGCTCTCCGTTATTCCTTGTAAATGTTATATTAACATTGAATGCATTTTACGTTACACAAAAGGATGTTACTGACAGAATGAACACAGACTGACGGCTCAAACTAATTTCTACAGTGATTGATTTTTATATGTAATTATTGAAAGCAAGTTTCTGCCTGGACAACAGTCTGACCTGCACGATGATGACCTGATGAGGTGTAAAAAGAAGACTGGTGATACGATACTGACACATATTGTGATGAGGACAGTGCATCTGGTACGGTGGCCCTGAGGGTCAACATTTCACAAAACACTACAAAATATCACAAAACACAATAACACTGCAGAAAACATGACGTTTCACAAAATACTTCAACATTTTACAAAACATGTCCTTTCAAATTACGACATAAAAAAGCATTTCACAAAACACTACATTTAATGAAACACAACAGCGTTTCACAATATACATTAACACTGCAGAAAAAAAAAAATTACATTTCACAAAATACTTCAACATTTCACAAAACATGACCTTTCAAAAAATGACAAAAAAAACCCTGCATTTCGCAAAACGCTACATTTCATGAAACACGACGGTGTTTCACAAAATACAATAATACTGCAGGAAAATGACACATTTTACAAAAAAATTAACATTTCACAAAAAAACAAAATTTCACATGACATTTTAACAAAAGTATGGTCACAACAAAACATTTTAAAAAAAACTACGTTTCACAAAAACACATTTCAGAAAACTACAACAGTTCACAAAATAAAACAACATTTACCAAAACGCTACATTTTTGAAATGTTGTGTTTTGATCCCCCGCGGCCACTGTACTCTGGTTCTATAACACAGTGCAGGACATACAGCAGACCTAAACTACATGTGTGTGCGAGCAGCTCGACACACTAACTGAGACGTGGTTGTAGGAGTGAAGCTGATTTAAATGTGCGGTTATATTTATCATCTCAGTGAATCTTAAATCAGAAAAACACTAATTCAGTGATTTGGATCAAAGGGAAGTCCTTTAATCAGAAAATTAAAGTCGGATAAGTTTTCAGAGGTGTAGGACTTAACTAAGTATCAGCACTATAAAACATTTAAGAATGTAAAATATCTTTAACTCCAAACCCTACAAACACATACTGATGAAGAAAAACGGCCTCTCCTTATTTATTTCTGCCTCATGACACAATTAGCCGTCTCCTGTCGCCAAAGTAAAGAAACAGGAAATGGATATAAACTGTGAGGAATGTGCAAGCTCTCCTGGAAATGTGAAACCAACTTATAAAGAAATTGGGAATAAAGTCACACAAGCAGAAACTTTTCTGTGCTGGATCCTGGTAAAAGTCAAAGTTAATTTATTCCCCCAACGACAACTGCTGGCGTTTAATATCAGCGAGATGAAAACAGCTCAGAGACTCTGCTTTCATAAAAATGTAAGGACAGGTCTGATGTCACAGCGAGCCAGCGCTGAGAAAATAATCTCTGGAGGTTTGTAAATTAATTAAAGTAAAAGCAAATGTGTCATGTGTTAGAGAACTGGTATCTGGTATTTTTGACAAAGATTTACAGAGGACATTTATGGAAGTACATGCTTACATGTCTACAAACAGTATTTCATATATACACATGGTATAAAATATGCAGAACTTAAAGTTACATTATGAAATGTACAAATCTTTATTAAATCTACATTTTTATGATAATTCATACTTTAAAATGTATTTTTTGATTAAGTCTGTTCATATAATTACATTACATTTTCCATGGCAGTGAGAGTTGAGATTATCGGCCTTTTGTATCTGCAGCTAAAAGACTTCCAGGTTTGTGTCGCTGGTGTTTAAATGATAAACAGCATTTTCTTTTTGGAGTGAAAAAATAAAGAAAGAATTGTTTACGCATCAACTGTTTATGACCCTGGACTGCTTTAGCGACTTTATGTGTTTGTGCATCTCTGTATAAATGTTATTTTGACTAATTTTATCTTTTAAAATGAAAAATATCAGAGCTGAAACAAAGTGGTCTCAGAGACTTCCAGCTGTTTTCTGTCTGTGTTTAGGTTTAATGTGATCAATGTGATCTGAAAAATCTTCTTCTTATATTGTTATTAAAATGATCTTTAGTCTCGTCTCACAGCGTCTGGGTTCAGTCTGAGTGACCCCGCTACCCGGTTCGTTCTGGTTTCAGGTGACTTGTATAACATGCCGACTTGAACCCAGATGACTTGAAGTCAAGTGACTGAGAGCTGTGTCAGCGCTGGGGAATGTCGACTCCTGGAAGAAAACAAAAGACAAACAAACAAAATGGAAACAAACTTTTAAAGCACGAACGCGCTGCATTCACTTTCTGACATTATGAGCCAAATGTTGTGCAGACTCAGACTCAGAGGACATTCACAAGCTCCACAAAATTTCTGCTTTTGGGGAAAACAAAGTTTTTGTGTTTCGTGGCGAGCCAGAGTTTGAAGACATTCAACAGATTGAATTAGACACAAGGGTGGCTCCGGGCATCATGATGTCATGTTCCTGCCTTCTGAAGTGGCACGTTTTGGCCTGTCGGGCTCTGGTTTGGTTGTGTTGGACTGTGATCAGTCACATTAAGACTGAAATGAAAGATAATTAGTTCAGTTCAATCATATTTTGACCGTGATGAGTGTGTGTGTGATGTTGTAACAAACTGGCAGTACGTGTTTTTTTATTAAAAGTGAGAGTGGAGATCTTTCCAGGTGGCTCACATGACACTTAAAGAATTAGTGTGAGCGATGGTCCTGAAGGTGACCGAGCCGTCCAACTTTACAAGCCCACGCAGCAGCCGAGGACCCACCAAACAAACCACAGTGAACTTTTCACATTTTCTCCTCAGCGTGAGCCGGTGTGTGCGAGGTCATCTTAGAAGCCCAATAAGCCCCCTGTCCTCCTCCTCCTCCTCCTCCTCCTCCTCCACCCCGCTACTTAAGAGCACCTCTATTTATTTTTATTTTTTCTCCTGTGGCACCGTGACGCTGCAGGTAACTGCCACTGACCCCAGAGGCAGGTGGTGTGGCTCATGGGTGGAGATGTGGAGGTGGGAGATGGGCTTAGGTTAGTGGTAACACAATTCCTCCAGTAAGGAGAAATAGAAGAAGAGCTCTTCTCCTCCCTGTTGAGAGCTGTGTGTCTGTGTTCCTCTGACGGCTGCAGGGTTCAGTGGAACTTTGCTGCATGAGGATGTTTGCTCTTTAATTCAAGCAAGAAAAGGTCAATACTTCCTCTATGGGACTTTTGAATGTCAAATTAAATCCTAATTTGATGTTATTCTTACGAGATTTACAAAAAGGAGAAACTGCCAAAGTTCAGAGAAATACACTTTGAATGTTCACTGAGGAAAAAGCAGTGGTCTTGTAGAATTTAACAGCATGCTGTTGTTGCAATACAAAAAAAGGATCCCTGGTACCTTGTTCTCATGATGAGATCATATCCATAATTTTGCAAATACAAGATAAGACTGTTAGATTAGCCTTTATTGTCTTCCTCAGGAGAAATTTGTCTTATATTCCAGAGGCAACATGCACACACACACACACACACACACACAAACACACGTAAAATCTAGAGTGGTGCACAAATGCTCTGCAGAGCCAGCACTATAAACCCCCTGATCCATCCATGACACTTAATTTAATGTAAAGACCACACAGACGCCCCAGATTATCAATAAGAAACGTTATGTTCACTCGACACAAAAACTCATCACTGTGAGCTCAACATCATTTTTTATGTTAAATCAACATTTTTTCTGTTTTGAGTTCATTTGACTAAAATTCAAAAATCTGATTTTGCCTCATTAGTTTGCAGCCAATAAACAACACTTATCACTGTACACTGAACACATTGTGGCGTGTTGGGGCTAAATGGTCGGAGCTTCCCAGCATGCCATGAGACAGTGTGTTCAAGAAAACTGTGTTTAAATGTGCTTTAAATCGCTGAGGTGACACAGTGATGAATGTTCCTGTAGTTCACAGTTAATGTTGTGGTAAGAGACATTTCGCACCATGAGGTCAGTCGTATTCACTTATATAAGGCTGTGCTGAGGTGACATAAAGAGCACTCTCTGGTTCAGAGTTCATCTTTTTGTCAATCTCTAGAAGCCTCAGCTCACCTCAATATATTTTTATAGTTTAATGAAATTATTAAAAAATGGTGGTAGATTGTGCACTCAGTGTTCTAACGTTCGTGTGATACAGAATTAAATGCTCAAACAACAACAACAACAATGTAAAAGTTGTGGATGGAATCTGTAAAAATTGAATTGAGTTCACAGTGAGGTGTTGCACTGATGCCCCACTCAGAGGAATTACACTAAAGTCCCACACACAGTTATTGCACAGGTGCCCCACACCGACATAGTGCACACTCCCCTCCTCACACACACACACACACACATGCGCGCGCGAATGTCAGACAATATTTCCTGCAGTTTATGCAAACATGCGTCAAGCTATCGAACATCATTAACATTAAATTCACACTAAATAAATCCAAATAAAACGGAACAGTTTCACTAAAATCTTCGGAGCAACTCAGAGTTAAATTATAATTTCAGGTCGTTCAGGACGTGAACAAAAAAAGATGTCGGTTTAAATTATCTGAACATGACAGTTGATGCAACCTGCAAAATTGTGAGCCGTGTTTTTTGTCCGTGTCTGTCAAAATGCCAAATTCTTTTTAGTCTTTGATTAAAATCTTCGATTTAAATCTAAAACTTGCTGCACGTGTTAATAACGATTAAACTGAGCATTTTAGGACGACCTAAATATTTTAAAAAAAACGGATTTGGAGCCCTTTTCCACAGTATTTAATATTTTTTGTGAGTTGCACGTTCTTTTGTTGAACCTTGAAAAAAACCCTTATTGAACATGAAAATGTTTTTGTTTTTTTATGCAGATTTGTAAATGTAATGTTAAATTAGTGACAGCGCCTTGAAAAATAGTAACGAACAGGTTTATAGATAGATAGATAGATAGATAGATAGATAGATAGAAATCCAGAACGAAGTGCGAACGAATGTGGCTAAAACTCTCCATCAGCAGCAGAAGTGGTGCTGCCAGTGTGGCAGGGCCTTGAAATATAACGCAACAAATCAGTTTGCCCCAACATGAAGGCCTTGAAACAATAAGTTAAATAAAATAATAAAAAATGCATCTAAAGCTAATATTCTTATATTCTGGATTCCTGCAGGTTAAACTGCCCCAAAATAAACCGACTGATCAGCAGCGACCCTCAGGACCCACAGACTCAGGTTAAGTCCCAGTTGCTGCAGATAAATGTTCTCCTCATCATGAACGTCTCAACATGTTGTATATTAAAGTGCTTTCTGATTGTTTCCTCTCAGAGTGGTTGTGTGGCTCCAGAATCAAACTGCTGTTTGGTTTGGGTTCAGCCTGCGCAGGGGAGGAGTTGTTTCATATTGAGAGGAGGGGAGCTCTTTAAGGAGCTCATTCTCTTTGGGGCTATAAAGACGTTGTGCCTTCAAGACACAGCAAATTAACTCCATTGGCGAATTATTGCATTACGAGACTCCGCTCATCGGTGCGCGACGGAGATTACTTTCCTTTTTTTTAATGGTGACATCTGATTAAAGCGAGCGGAGCTGGGTGAAGATGATGGAGTATATGGAGGATAAGTTTGCGTTGAAAAGCCAAGCGATGAAGGCCAGCGATTATTACATGGACCAAGTCATGGAGAGCCTGGACAGCGCGCAGTACTTCACCAAGTCCTCCCCGAAGTGCGTGCAGGCCTTCGGGCTGCAGAGCGGCGAGCACCGCTCCTCTCCGTGCGGAGACCAGACCGGTGCGTAAGAACTAGTTTCTGTAACTTTGACTGTTTGTGCAGGTTTACAGGAGTTAGTCTGCGTGTGTGAGGAGTTACAGAGTGTTTCTTTTTTTTCTAAACTTCCCTCTCGTTTTATTTGTGGAGCTCAGTTAGTGTCAATAGATGTGATTTCTTTTGGAATTATTTTATGTTTTTGCCACTTTCTGTTAAAATCTGAAAGATCGCTGGTGTGTGTAAATTTTCCACGTAGATTATTTAGTGTGATCAAAGCTGGCCTATAATTTTAAACATTTTTAATCACCCAGAGACCATAAAAAGTAGCCTGATTTGTATAGTCCAGATTTATTTTCATACTTTAAGTTGCAGTAGGAGTGTAATGCCATGTCAGGGGTCAAACTGTATATTTATTCATGTACCATCTGCTCTCTCCAGCCGGTTACGGCGTGCCAAAAACAGACGACGACACTTTGCACTCGGACCTCGGGAGGTCGATGGACAGTTGTTGCACTCTGCGCGCGTCTCCGGTGACAACCGGGCCGGAGAAAACGGATTTGGACGACATGGGAGACAAGTGCGACAGTAATGTGTCCAGCAGCAAGAAGAGGAGACACCGGACGACCTTCACCAGCGCGCAGCTGGAGGAGCTGGAGAAAGTCTTCCAGAAAACTCACTATCCAGATGTTTATGTGAGGGAACAGCTGGCCATGAGGACGGAATTAACGGAGGCCAGAGTGCAGGTACAGTTTATCACCGCGCTCTTATTTTGTTAACTTTAATGGATGGGGAGAGAAGAGGCCATAAAATAAAGAAAGACGATAAAACATGAACGTGGAGCTGCGCCGCTTTGCGTAAAATAAAAACACCACAAAATTTAAAGCAAATCATTAAATACACACTTTTTGTTTTTCTCTAAACCAAGTCAGGATTCATTTTAATCAGACTGTTGCAGCTCCTTTTAAACAAATAATTTTACCAGAATTTATTGGACTTATTTTCTAAACGAATGATATTTTGTCACATTTATTTTAATTGATTTTGTTTCGTCTCATTTTATTTTATTTTCAGGTTTGGTTTCAGAACAGAAGAGCGAAGTGGAGGAAGAGAGAGCGCTACGGGCAGATCCAACAAGCCAAAACTCACTTCGCAGCCACCTACGATTTATCAGTGTTACCGAGGACTGACAGCTACACACAGGCCAGTTGTTTCCTCCGTTTTTATAACTATTAATGTTTTTATTGTTTGTGTCAAATGAACCTCTGATGGGAGCGTTCGTGTATTTGTTAAAATCAGAGGGCGCTGGTGCGTAATGCTCACAGCGGCCTGTCAGCTTCATTTCCTCTTTTCTCTTTAAGTCCTCTTAATTTAAGACAAAATAAATGAATGCATGGGTGTCAGTCTCACGGGGGCTCAGAGGACATGTCCTCTCAATATTTAAATAATATAAAGAGATATACATACATACATTATTAACCCTGAGGGAATTTAAGGCACTCAGCAGGTCATTACACCACGCTTACAACAACACATAGAGTAGAGTAAAAAAAATAGAAACATAAGAATAAAAACACAGAGCAGTGAAATGACAGTTTGGTCCCAGGACAACTACAGAGCGCTGTTACTACAGCAGATGTGATGGTGATGGAGATTTAGGTGGTTGAAGGTGCAGGTATTTCATAGTAAGGTGATTAAATTAAAGCATAAGAGCAGTGCAGGAGGAATCAATACTTTGCTATGGATGATATGAGCAATACAACATAAATAAATGTACACATACCAGTGTAGATACAGATTTTTTTTGTAGAAGATGCGTAAAAGTAAAGACTGTATTAAATAAGGACTGCTGGGAAATATAAAATATAAAAAATATGAAATGCTAACAGAGGGTGAATATCTAAATAACAACAACTGTAAATAGAAAATGCAAAATTGTAAAGGAAAAGAAAGACAATGCAAATTGTAAAAAAACAAACCATGAAGTAGCAGTAGCAGCAGAGGACTTGACAAAATTAATATTTACACCATATATTGATACTGAAAAGGCACAAATAGATGCACAAAAGTTCACCAGAATGAAGTGAAATAAAGTGTTTGATGCTCAAGATTTTTCTGTTGGCGGAGCCCCAGACTCTCAGGGTCATATATGTCCTCCCCACCACCGACAGGAAACTGTTGAATGAGCGCTTTTATCTGCATGAATCACTTCATGTCATTGCAGCTCTATTCATCACTTATTATAGAGGCCATCTTCAGATAAGAGGCGGGACACTGATTAGAGCCTCTGTGAGGTGTCACGGCTGAATTAATGACCTTATATCAGATTTCACGTTCGCTGCACATTCGTCTTGCCGCTTGGACAAAGGTCAGGTACAAGATGAGGTGAGAGAAGACGCACACTGTCAGTTTGTCCTTCCTCTATCACAAACTGAGACTGGGCCTCTGAGGTTTTTAAGAAGGAAGTCTGCAGCTCCTCAGAGGGCTCTGTGTGTGTGTGTGTGTGTGTGTGTGTGTGTGGACATTTGGAGTGTACAGAAAGCAGCTTATGTGTTGAATCCAAAGAGGCAGCATTGTAAAAAAAAAAAAAAAGTCAGAGTCACAGAATCGTCTTCGCCCTGGCTGAGGACCAGGTCCGAGCTCTGTTGGACTGTCTCGTATTTTCCCCGCACATGTTTCTGATAGACCCGCCTGGACACCAGCCATACCCGTCTCTCCCAGCTGATCCAGATTACTGTCATTAAATGGATCGTCCTACATGGAACTGTGCTGGCAGAGGGTGTTTCTGTCTCCCTAAACACAGTGGACATGGGCTGCATTCTTGTGGGTTTTAAAGAGTTTGGTTTTGTTTTGTTGACTGTGAGGGGTTTTGTTGTTTTTGGGCAAAGGCTGAGGTCCTGCTGATCCATGACACATGTTGTCAGGAACATGTTGGCAGAGCTGATTCTCCCGCTACGACCAAAAGAAGTTTATTTAACTGTCAGAGAAGATGATTTTTACTGTGTACTGCTGCTGGTTTGTGGTGTTTGTTGAAAAAAATTCTGTAAGCTGTACTTTGGCAGAAGGTATTGTCCTGGTTCAGTTTATAGTTCTGCAATTTTAAAAATTTTTGAAGATGCTGAAATTTAATTTTGGTGTATTTATTTGTTTAAATTATATATTTAAAATTTTCTTAAAATATAGCCTTGAATTTATGCTGTGTGGAGGAAAACTTTAGAGACACATTTCAGTGGCTTCATTTTGACAAGATACAATTAGGAGCAAATGAATTTGCATGCTGTTCACATGCTACTTACTTATGCTGGCGTGTGTTCTGAGTTTGATTGAAATCTTGGCGAATGAAACCAAATGAACCGCCTCAGAGTGAATGAAGTCATTTGAATGTGATGGAGCTGTCAGTCGGTGTCGTGCGTTCTGTAGGCCGCAGCTCCCGCCTTTAAAATCAGTCACGTGATGTTTACTGTATGTTGAGCAGATGGGATTATACATCCTGTCCGTCTCTTTGTTCTCTCAGACTCTAATGAAATGCCAACAGAGGCTGCGTGACACTTTTGGGATGAATTTTAGGAACATGTGAACTTCAAAATCATGTTTGGATCTGTGTGCGTTCAGACGTCGGTTCAGACATTAAAGGCTCACTTCATCCCCCTTGAATAGATAATGTGTCATTCACTTTCAGTGTTGTCAAGCCGTGCAGATAGTTTTGGTGTGTTGTGATATCTGTCTCTGAGATTTCTGCCTCCACACCAACACAACTGAGCTGAATGAAAGTGTATTTGGTGACTTAAACCTTTAAAAAAATCTCTGTCCACAAACAGTGTCTGCATTAATCTGGACAATCCACACACATCGCTGTCGACAGGTTCCACAGGTGAGGACTCAGCTTTGTTTTAACATTAGTGGGGAAACATTAAAAATGGGGGCGTGGGGGCGTCTGCCGGAAAAGTTTCAGCTTCAAACACGTAATTTCCTGCATTCTGGTGAATTTTTACGCAACAATTTGTGCATTTTTATCAGTTTATTGTGTAAATATTTTAAATTTATCAGAATAAAAGTCCTCTGCTGCTTTTATGGGTTTTTTTTAGATGGGGACAAATACACATGTCCTAAATATTGAGATGGACTTGTCCCCTGCATCCCTCCCTACCACTGAAATCTACCCCTATGTTCACAGGGGCTATTTCCTCTGTAGGAAGTTGCTCCAGTGTGTGTGTGTGTGTGTGTGTGTGTGTGTGTGTGTTGAAAGACAGATATCTCAATTCTTTGGCAAATAAAACTGAAACCTTCTGCAGCCCTGACATCACTCGAGTTAAGTTAGAAAATATTTTTTGTAATATGGGTTAAATGGCCTCTTCACAGTTTTCTGTGTGTTTGTAAGAAATTAGCATTTATTGTCCACTGATTAAAAAAATGAACATGTTAATATTTTAACAGCTGCTTTGCACGTTCAACTTATCAGTGATTGAACTCGCCGCTGCACCAGAGCATTTTTTTTTTAAGATCCGTAGATATGGCAGAGTTTCTGTCCAGATTGTGTGACTGATTTCTTTATATTTTTAATGCAGGATGTTCGTCTAAACTACGTCTGTGCAGTGACATAATCAAAAGGTGCATTTAAGGAGCCTTCTGTAAAAGTGTTAGCTGTACTCTCATGGTCTTCATCAGCAGATGAAACGATGCGGGTGTCATTAACGTATCAGGGCTGACAAGATAATAGATTTTTATGATGATCGGGGCCAAATGAGTTCACCACAATGATATTATCTGCTTGTCTAATGATTGTATAAGTGCAGTTTATCTTTAACTTTGTTTATTGTGTGTTTCTTCTCTTTTTTTAACAAATGAATTGAACTCAAAATATGAGTGAAGGGAGTCTGTCATCATAACTGAATGAAATTGTACAAAAAAAATAGCGATTACGCTATAAGGACAGTGAAAAGGAAACAAAGCAAAGCAAGAACAGAAAAAAACTTGAATGAATAAATGGCTTTATCTCCAGCAAAACAAAAATAAAAACAAAACAAACAATACAACAAACACCTCTACCTCCTTCTCACTTTAAAAATGAAATTGTCAACAACATCCCAAACTTATTTACAACCACTGACATAGATAAATAAACAACAATCTTCAATATTTAACACCCAGAGCCCAAAAAAATGAATAAACTACCCATCAGCATCACCGCTCTTCATCTGCAGAGCTCCTAAACATGTTGTGTCTGTACATCTTGTTAAAGTGCTGATATGCCTCACTTTAACTCCTCATCGTACCCACACACACTGTACAACTTTGAAAAGTGTGTGTATTTCAAACACAATGTTTCTTTAGATTTCCTCATGAATTATATCTCCCCTCCTTGTCACAAAACATGTTTTGAATATTGCCTGGAAGTAGATTATTTCTTATTTTGAACATTATTTGTTCTGTTTTAAATTCAACCAGATCCCTGAATTCAAATGCATGTGACTTTAAAAACAGTGTGTTGGTTTGCTGCTGACATCGCACATCATGTACAATCCTAATGACTTTTTTTAAAATATATATTTAATATATGTAGTGTATATAAATTGGTTTTATAGGTGTTTCCTCAGATCTCCACACAGATCTGGTAAAATGAGTGAGCAGTCGATCAGTTAAATGATTAAAGAGGAGCTGGATTATTTACGTGATATTATCAGGGCTCCACAATATGCAAAAAAAAAAAAAAAATTATTATCTAAAAATTTTTTTTTTTTTTTTTTTCATTTCATTTTAACCAATAAAACAAAATTATGATGATGTGATATTTGCTCAACAAGCATGTTCCCTTACGTCTGGAATATGAGTTGCAGGACGACGACTCTCCGCAGCACCACAGTTCTTTATTTATAATTGTTGCGACACATTTTACCTTCATCAAAAAAGTGCAGCTCCTGCATTCTGGATATTGACCTTGGCCACTTTGTGATTTCAGTAATATTTAATTAATGTTGCAGCCCTGATTATCACATGTGTATTATTGACATGATATCAGTATCTCATTTTTAAATATCACATTTGTCGTCAGTACCAGTATATCGTGACTCCTCTACTACAAATGTGTAAAGTTTAAATCCTTCGATGAATCCTCAAAAACATCTGTGTAGTTTAAAAATGTTGTATGTGACAAACTATTGGTCTATTAAAAATAATTCTGGAGTTGTTGCTCTGATGCATCCTCATGAAATTAAAGGGATAGTTCAGATTTTTTTGAAGTGGGGTTGCATGAGGTACTTTAACATAGTCAGTGTGTTACATACAGTAGATGTCAGTGAGCACACTACTAGTTTGGAGTCTGACATGGAAGCTAACCTATGTTCTGCTGTGGAAGGTCAGCACCTAAACATATTTTAGCCACCTAAAAAAATTAATATCAGTTTAAGTGTATGCTATACTGAGAGTATTTTCACAGCTTCACCTTAATATCAGACAGTGATTTAAAATGGGAAAATGCAGACGGTATATCGCTCTCTTTAACACCAGACTCCATTGAGAAAAACAGTGATTTAACATCACTGAACTCAGGAGCTGCTGGTCTACCACTGCCTCCATCCATGTTTGTGTTATTGTTTGACTTTGGTGTTTTAAAGGGTTAATTCAGATTCACCAAAGTCACACATTAACACAAACCAAGTAACTGATCAAAGCAGCAGTAGACCAGCAGCTCCCGTGTTCAGAGAGCTTAAATTACTGTATTTGTCAATGGGCTTTGGCAGTTTTGTTGAGAGTATAGATGGGGAGCTGAGGCATTAACGGCTTCCTCGTCAGAACAGGCTGTCTGATAGAAATAGAAAGTGCTGAAAATACACTCAACATAGCGAACACTTAAACTGAAACACTTAAACAGTATGTTTTTAGATGTCTTTAATGCGGCTAAAATATGTTTTGTGGCTGACCCCCCTCCTCAGCAATACATTGTTTAGCTTCAGTGTTGGACTCCTGCCTGCTTCTCCAAACTGGGGGCATGCTGACTGACATCTACTGTCTATGACACACTGTCTATGGATAAGCATCCCATACAACCCCACTTCAAAAAACCTGAACCGTCCCTTTAAAGCCCTGTTTCTAAAACTTTCTTTCACCCAACAGATTCCCAACAACCTGTGGCCGAGCCCTGCTCCTGGTGGCTCTGTGGTCTCCTCCTGCATGCTGCCCCGAGGCTCCCCTCCCTGCGTCACATCCTACTCCCACTCCCCACGTTCAGCAGCCGGTGCCGCCGAGCACGGCTACGTGGGCTTCCCCAACCAGCAGAACCAGTTCGGTCACGTCTCCCTCAACAACTTCTTCAGCGCAGACTCACTCCTCACGCCGGCCGCCAACGGTCACCATGCCTTCGAGACCAAGCCTGAGTTTGAGAGGCGCTCATCCAGCATAGCCGTGCTGCGCATGAAGGCCAAGGAGCACACAGCCAACATCTCCTGGGCCATGTGATCAACTCTCTTGTGCATGTCTGGAAAGGCTGGATAATGTATGGAAAAATATTTTTTAGAATTTACAGTTTGTGCAAAGTGTGGCGATTGCCCAAAGAGTCTGAAATCATATTCAAAACTACCTGTCACCCAAAATCTTCTTTTGTCATCTACAGATGGAGATGTCACTTATCTGTTGTTGCGAAGAAAAAAATCAGCTGTGGACAATTTTACCATGAAACTGACCTGCTATTTAAACCTGCATCATATGCAGCTCTGACCATAATTTGATCTAGAAACATGAATGTAGAAAATAGTGTCTGGATAACGTTCATAAATAGAAAATGTGTCAGGATTTTTGTCTCTCTGCATTTTCTGAAATGCAGAAGACACTTAAAGGAATAGTTCAGCCCAAAATCAAAAACACATAGTTCTCTTACCTGTAGTGCTCAGTCTAGATAGTTTTGGTGTGAGTTGCAGAGTGTTGTAGATATCAGTCGTAGAGATGTCTGACTTCTCTCCAATATAATGGAACTAGATGTCACTCAGCTTGTGGTGCTCAAAGTGCCATTAAATCATATTTAAAAACTCAACACCAATGTCTCTTTCCAGAAATCATAACGTGGTTACTCAAGTTAATCCACAGACTTGTGTTGTGAGCAGTTTGATGAGGGAACTATTTTCTTTCAACGAACTACATCCGCCAACCGTATGACCGCGTAGAAGGAAGTGTGCATCTACTCATGGGTGTGAGCAGTTTTAATTAACCCTTTCCTAAGTCTCGCCCCTTGAATGCAGACTAGCCAATCATTTCATAGCATTAGCATTAGCCTCACATGCGGTTGTTTTAGATTTAATTCATTTTCAGGCTGTGTTTGTGAATTTGGAGCTTAATGTTGTACCTGGAGCACATTGTGTAAGGGTCTGTGCACATGCCATGTTGTTTGCATCCCCAATTGCTTCATTGTTTTCAGTGTAGACAAACTGTGGGGTACGCTCAAACGCCTGCGTGACAACCGTCATGGTGCCCACGTGTTCTCGAGCGCCTATTTTTCAGGGCCCAACGACTGCACCCTGAAATGAACTGAGTTCAACTTTTGGAACACATCAGAATTTATCTCAGCCTTTATCTCTTTATTGCACCTGCTGTGCTTCTACATTAAAGGGAAATTTCGGTTTATTTCAACCTGTCTCCTATCGTTCTAAATTTGTTTCAAGTGACTAGTGACATAAAAATAATAGTTAGCATGTTAGCCGTTAGCCTAGATACAGCCGGGGCGCATAGTAGCGTCAGACCTGTTAAAACGTAAGTTAACGGGCAACCTTCAAGTGCAAAGTTAGTCCACTAAACAAGCTTTTTTTCCACAAAGACCGCCTCATATCGTTAGGATAAATGTCAGAGAACATATAGAAAACGACATGTAAACGCGTTGTCTTACCTTACCGGTGTGGTGCCATGTTTGTTTATCCCTCTAACTCTGCTTTCCAAAGCGCGGCCAAAATATTGCGAGAACAAGCAGCGATCTCATACTGTGCCTGAAGTCTGGCAAAAAGTCAGCCATTATTCTATAAATCTTTAATAAAATAAATGAATGAACTTTTCAGGCTACTGTCCGGTTCTGCCTTCCAGCTGTTGCTGCTTGTTCTCGCGAGATTTCAGGCACAGTATGAGATTGCTGCTTGTTCTCGTGATATTTCGGCCGCGCTTTGGAAAGCAGAGCTAAATGGTATTGAAACATGGCATCACACCGGTAAGGTAACACAACACGTTTACATGTCGTTTTCTATATGTTCTCTGACATTTATCCTAACGATATGAGGTGGTCTGGAAAAAAAGCTTGTTTAGTGGACTAACTTTGCACTTGAAGGTTGACTGTTCACTTACATTTTAACAGGTCTGACGCTACTATGCGCCCCGGCTGTATCTAGGCTAACAGCTAACATGCTAACTATTATTTTTATGTCACTAGTCACTTGAAACAAATTTAGGACGATAGGAGACAGGTTGAAATAAACCGAAATTTCCCTTTAAAACCAATGGACTAGAGGGCGCAAATAACATGGCATGTGTACAGCCCCTTAGCCAGCCCGTCAGCGTTCTGAGCTCATACTGCATCAGGAAATAATTGCAAGCATGATCGTTTTGGGCTTCCTAGTTTAAAACATTTTTCTAATATGTTTTATATAATAATCTATCATTCTCCTCTCATTTTGAATGTCCGATAGCCCACCACTAACATTTTAGTCCCATCTCTTCTTGTCAAAGAAAACAACAATGTAGGTTTATTTTTAGCTCACCGACGTCTCATCTTTGTCATGGGAAAAAAAAAAAACATTTTTCGTCATACTTTTCCTTAATGGTGTCCTCCTCAGCTGAGCTGTAACGTTAGCTAGCTCAGTGGTGCTAGGTGAGCTAACAGTAGATGCACACTTTCAGTGATATGGTTGGTGGGTGTAGTTCAGTACAAAAAAAATAGTACGGACATCAAACTGCTCACAGCAAGGTCTGTGGATTATCTTGAGCAATGATTTCTGGAAGGCGACATTGATGTTTCGTTTTTCAGATGTATTTTTTTTTTTGGCACTTTGAGCATCACAAGCTGAGTGACATCTGGTTCCATTATATTGGAAAGAAGGCAGACATCTCTACGGCTGATATCTACAACACTCTGCAGCTCACCAAATCTGAACGGACAAACAGCACTACAGGTGAGAGGAAAAAGATTTGATTTTGGGGTGAACTGTCCCTTTAAGTTGGAGTTGGTCTCAACCTTTATGTAGCTTAACTGAAGCAATACATTCATATCATTGAGGCTTTCAGGGTGATGTCCAGTGCATTGTGTTACAGTCCTCTGTGTTCAGAGGTGGTGTGGTGATCTGTGCAGGTGACAGCTGTGATGTGAATAAGCTTTTCTTGTTGTTGTTTTTTAACGGGGGGGTCAGGGCTTCCTCAGAGTTTCCTCTTTATTGAGACGGACAGAAGTGTGAGACGGAGGTGAAGGAAGAAGAACTCAAACAGGCTCCGGTGGGATTTGATCCCAGTGTGGGGACATGTGGATCCAGAGGGAGGGTCCTGAACCACTACAGCATTTTCTAAGCACTGTGAATAAGCTTTCTTTACCTGCGCCTTTCGTCTCTCTCCCTCGTTCCAGCTCAGGACTGAAGACGAGCAGCGTGGAGACAAACTAACTTGACGTACTGACGTGTCTGTGTGCTTTGCAGCAAAGCTCTGTAATCTCTGTCGTCTGCCTCTGTTGTGACTCACAGGTTCATGACGCAGGCAGAGGAGGAAGGTTTTAATATGACTGTGTTGTAAATTTATCTGTTGGAAGTATAATAAATGGATGTCACTTGATTCAAGCATGGCTGCACCTTTTTGAAAACATGACTGTGTAAAGGATGAGTGGTAAAAGTCTTTCTTGTTCTTATTTCTTATTCTTAGTCAGTCTTATTGTCATCAAACCTCACAGAAAAACCAACAGAGAAGATATCCAACCAACAAGTGGTGTGTGTGTGTGTGTGTGTGTGTATCTAAAGCTTGATATGGAGTGGTTCAGGAATGACTCCTAAAACTTAGACATGAGTTAGCATGTTAGCACTTCCTGTTCGATGGTTTCAAAGTCAAAGTATTTTTTTTTTTATGTGTTTTTGGTTGTCTGAAATAAGGTCTGTGGTTATCACGCACTTTCCTGTTTTGTTCTACGACATAAAATACATCACTAAATGCCCCTCTGTGAACTCTGAAGCTTTCACGTCTTAAAAATGATGGATGCTAACAAGTGACTAAATGAGACTACAGAACGTCATCACGCCAAACATGGCTTTACAGCCTCGTTAAGGTGGTGCCTTTAAGTCATGCAAGCCGTTCTCATGCCAGTGCATTACATATTGCCTCTTGGTCAGTGCCGGTCATATCTACATGTGACGTACTAGGTATCTGCTTGTGTTTGTTGCTGACATTCTGAGATGGTTAATGTAAGCTGTACAACACAAGCAGGTGGTTAGGTTTAGAAAAAACCCCATAATTGTTTGGCTCTACAATCTTATGGGAAGTGAACAGTTGAAAGTCAACCACCCCTCCTAATGGGATAGTGACTTTGCAGCTCGTTATATTATGTCATTACCGGCAGCATTTCAAACTGATGCCTTTCAGTGGCGTCTCGTGCCACTGCCACAGGTGTCGTTGGGCCAACTGGCGGTGCATCATAACCAGGACAGCTGGAATATGGGCAGGGGGACAACATTTTCCAAAGTGGACCCTTCATCCGCACCTAAAAATGGCCTCCAATGAATAATTAGAGAAAAGCCAAATCTAACATTGAATGTAGAAATTAGTGTATGGTATTAAATCATAAGATCAAAGCATGAGTGAGTAAATACTTAACTTATTCATGTGGTCTTGAGGCTGCTTTAATCAAATATTGGTCACATTGTGTGCAGAACTGAAACAGCGCAGAGAGTATGCAGCTGTCAGCTCTCTGTTCTCCAGTCAAACCCAGTTTATGAAATTTAAAGAAAGTTCAGGTCAGTATGCAGAAATATTTAAATCCGGGGCGTCGGTGGCTTAGTGGTAGAGCAGGCGCCCCATGTACAAGGCTATTGCCGCAGCGGCCCGGGTTCGACTCCAGCCTGTGGCTCTTTGCTGCATGTCCTTCCCCCCCTCTCTCTCTCCCCCCTTCACACTTAAGCTGTCCTATCAATTAAAGGCTAAAACGCCCAAAAAAAAATCTAAAAAAAAAAAAAAGAAATATTTAAATCCACCATTTTGAAAAATGGCAATGTTCCTTTTTCCTTCACCAAAATGTGGCAGAAATTTGGAGCGTTATTTTGCCCCTTCTTTTCAACAAGATATAACATGGTTGGTACCGACGAATGCCTCGGGTCCTCTAGTTTAATGTGATACCTTTGAACTGAGCTGATACGGCAGGTTTTCATCACATTTTCGTCAGACCTTTGTCCATCACCTCTCTGCCTCTTTCACTTTCTTGTTCTTTATGTTGCCTGAGTTCTTTCTTTAGGAGTCGCTGATGTTTGTGGAGGCAGCTAGTATGGCTGCAGTCCACCTTGCATGTTTACAGTAGCAGCTTGTGAGTTCTGCCCGTCATACACCTGACTCTGTCTGTCTGGTGGGCCGCACCATGTCACAATACCTGTGGGGGGGTGGGAGCATCAGCTGGCACGTTACAATGTGTTTTAATGCTAAAAATCCAATTATTTATCATGTAAATACATATAACTTGTATTGTCAGTGATTTAAGTTAAATTGTTCTACTTGATCTGATTTAAGGGTCAAACATAGACCTGTTAACGGCCCCCCCTTGGACTTGGGCCAGGGTCATCTGACCCCTCTTCCTCTGTGTTTGATGCTAAAATCAGTAAAAGCAGCGTATTTAATGACTTCAGAATGAGAACGGGCAGGACTGTGGTGTAGTTTGTTTATAGCCTAACCTTTTC